CTAATGTCTGTTGTGGAAGTTTCATTTAATTTTGGTGCATTTTGCCGATATTCTGGTAACTTTTTGTTGATTTTTTGAAGAATTCTTTTTTCAAATCTCTGATTGCAATGTTTCTTAAACTTAGTATTAGCATTCCCCAGTAAAATAGGAGCGTATTGATTGCATATTGGAGGATTTTCAACGTGTAGGGGTATTGTCCCGATATGCTTTTGAATGCCTGGCTAGAGCACTGGACATAGCCCTACTAGCAATTTTTATTTCCACAATTTATAGTACATGTAGGTTGTGCATAGGAAAGAGTTACGCCGTCTGTGCGCGTACTTAACCAATCACGTACGCAAATTATATTGTGGTACTCCAGACTTGTCCTGCGATTTACTTGGACATTGGTAGTCTGGTTCCTGGACCTGAAAATTCTAACGACGAACCCAGCATACAAAAAATCACAGGCATGTGAATAATTGAGTCTGGAAAATAGATTTCGTCGCGCCGTGCACGTTGTGTTAACTGCTGCAACGCACGCGTAGTGACCATGACATTGCTAGCCAGATCACTTGTTCTTTAGCCATGTCATCTGCATTCGGTGTTTCTTTTACACAGTGGCACGTCTTAGAGTCTCTAAATTAAGATAAAACTACTTTTGAATTAGAAGTACTTGTACTCGTACTCGGAAGTGCAAGTACTTGTACTCGGAAACCAGTACTTGTAGTCGGCTGGCAAAGTACTCGACCTGTCTTTGTACTCCGCAGTCAAAGTACTCGAAAAAAAGTATTCGACTACAACACTCGTTTTTAGTCTGCCTTCATGTACAAGAATTGTAATATCGCAGCATTTCAAAGTGTGTAGATAAACATAAAGGATATCCATTCTCTTCACAGCTCTACAGCACAGCATTCAGTGCAGCCCGCCATATAAATCCCAACATCCACACAGCATGTTCGGGCCCTGGATTCAGCAGAAGAACACACCCTAGGCTGCCATTAAAAATAAATTACTTCTGGGATTACAAGCTGGAATCTGCAATGGTGCATTGAGTGTGGGAAAAGACCGCATCAAAAAGTTTTCTGACTACTAATCCTTCACATACAGTATTCAAGTGACATACATGTAGAACAAAGTTTACTAGAAACAAATTAAAATAACATAACATATATGAACAGGAAAACATGGGGAACAAGTTTATTATAGAGTGCAGGTTTGGGATCCAAGCCCACTTGGAAAAAAGGAGACATTCTCTCTTTTAGAGGGTAGATTTTGTCTCCAAAGAAAGGGACTTCTCTGAGTTTGACAAGTCTCTGAGCTCTGATGTAAACCTCTACTACTAAATGTTTTATTTATTTGCATGCAGATTCCACCAACTGGCCTCCCGACAAGAAACGGAAAAGAAGTCGTTGGGGCGGGGAGGAAACTAAGCCAACTGGTGTGGCGTCCATCATTCCTTCTGGGCTCAGCAAAGACCAGGAAAAGCAGGTTTTGTGTAAGTATTCACTCTGGTTTTTTTTTGCAATTTTGAATCTGGGTATGCCAAATGAAACATGAATTGCCACAAATACATGTATGCTATGATTGTTTTTATTTACCACAAGAATTTTGTTCATTGTGAAATGGGTTAACTAACAGTGTTCTCCATAAGGAGTTTTAGTAGGGCAGGCCGCCTTGCTATAATTTTCTGCCACCTCGCTAAAGTTTTGCCACCCGGCCAAACTATTCACTGCCCTGCTATTTTTTTCCATTGGGTTTCCCCATTTTTCTCTGTCTTCACTGTTCATCGAAGTACATGTATGAGGAGGTTTAGCACACTGAGAAACAAACATGATGGGTTGCCAGTATCAACATTCATCAGTATTGCTGTAGCGTTTATGATTGAAGTGCCCAGCAAATGCCTCATCAAAGAGCAACTACAATCTCTCATTATGAAATCGGCTATAACAAAATTCTGGTTATCATGCTTATAACAAAAACATACTGTTGGTCCTTGTGAAAATATGCACATTCCTATGGGGAGAAAATCTGTCATAACATTGTACAGAATACTTTTACACTGGAAGGTTTTTGTGACTTAACGGGTAAAACGCATTGTTGGTGACCCATTAACAAGTGTTTATAAATCCTGGAACACATAATTGCAAGCAGAGTTAGTCATCAATAGGTGTCTCCTGTGTGTATTGTTTAATCTTGGCCCGATTTAGAATCTTTTCTGTGTAGGTGGTTTTTGTTGGTACCTACATGTATGGTCGCTAATCGTCTGCTGTGGTTACCAACTACAGCCAGTCATCAAATGCATTGCCTCGTTGATGCATGCCAGTGAATCTTGCCAGACAGAAATAAAGAACCAGTGATTGATTTCTAAAAGGATTTTGTCAGTTTCAGACTCCTCTAAAAATAAGGCCATTAACCCCAAACCCCCATTAAATGACTGAATCCCCCAAAATCCAAACTTTCCCAGAGCCCTGTTGTGGGCCCTGGACACCACATTGTAAAGGCCTTGCTCTTAGCACTTGCATTGCCTGCCACCCTGCTAAAATTTGATGCTGTGGAGAACACTGAACAGCTCTGTTGAACTTGTTTGAAATGTTGACCTTGATTTTCCTCAGTCCATATTCATCAATCTTGTTGCTTTGTAATTTAAAGATAGTCTTAATTTTGCAAGGTTTACTAGCGAGTGTCATGTCGGGATGTTCGCATGCAGCATCTTGCATAAAATTTGAGTCATGACAGACTCACCGTGGATTGAGTATTACATTGTGCATTCTCACACTTCTATTTTTCTAACAAGAGTTGACAATTGAAGCAATCATTGTTAAGGTGACATCTGTGATGCGTAATTTGTTTGTTGTTTACATGATAAGTACAGCAGCATCACATTCCTATTAATGAATTATAACCATAAACTGTTTTATTGTTTTTTTCACATAGATAACGCATTTATTGTCTTTCATTTCATCTTTTGTTATGTGGAAATTACTTTGTCTGAGAAATGGTGTCTTGTACATCCATCAGTTGTAAGATGCACCCTTGGACCCCAGGGACATGTGCCTCAATTCTTGCAGGCGGGTCAACATTTGGAGAGTAATGATGCATGAATTACCATACACACTTTTGATTCATCAACTCTGAAAAGTGATGCACAAATGAGTTCCCAGTCTTCCTAGCGGCTTGTGCCACAATTTTTCTCTGGTCACCTGTCTACATGCCAGTACATTCTTATCGGTCTTTAAGCACGCATTTTTTACATTTTCGCAGCAGAAACTGCAGATGGCTGGTGTGGCTCCCATTACAATGCATGCCATGGGCCAGATGTACATGTTTGCATGGAGAAAATGTTTCCGAGACCTGATGTTTACCTTACGAATCATATCGCTCCAAAAATAAGTGATTTTTAGTGTGTGTCATTCTGTAATACGCTTGGGCGGTTCCACCGTTTACGGAGCCAGTTGCGGTTCCACATAAATACCCGGTTCCGAGTTATAGCGGTACACGGTTCAGGGTAATTTAAAGAAAAACATTTGTAACAAAGTTAAGGTCAAAGGTTTTTCTATGTCTGCCATTAGTGTGTCCTTGTAAAATCATTGAATTTGCAAAGTTGGCAATAAAATCTGTTTGTCTGCCGTATGTCTGTTTGCAAGAACTTCTTGGAGCTTGGATCTGACTCATGGAGGAATAAGAGCTCATGTCTGACTTAAGGAGTTAAAATTTGCGCCGGCTATCAGTCTCCGGACTTGAGCTGCTGAGGCAGAGCCGTAAAGTACACTGTGTACACGTTAAGTACATATACATGTACGGTACATGTGCGTACCGTACGTTGTACACCGTACACCTACATGTACATGTATCATGTACATATTGATAGCTGTCTTGCCTACTGGCGCCACATAGCCCAGCCCATTGGCCGCAAAAACAAAGCACCCGGCTTGCCACTCTAGACTTGCCTCAACACGTTATACATGTACATGAATGTCTTCATATTTCGCTGTGGTCCAAATCCTCCATGGGTACCCGGATCTGAAAAATACCCAGTATTGATACCCGGTGCCGGTTCCTGATGTTGGAACCGGGTAGAACTGGGTACCTGCTGGAACCGCCCAAGCTTATTCTGTAATTGGTTTTGCAATGTAGATATTGAAACTTGTGTGTGCATAAAATGTGCCACATCTATTTCACGATGCACCCATACACAGCGTAATATTCAGAAACATCACTCTTCATGCACCCCTTTGTCATCATCTGACTGACTATGAAACTGCCACAGTACATTTGCCCCAGGGGTCTGAGGGTACAGGTACATGCACCGGTATGTCTTACATTCATGACATTTGATATATGTACCGGTAGATGCTTTATTGAAAAAGATTTAGTGTCTTGAAGAAAAAGCTACCAGTCCTTAGTGAAACATATTGAAGATTGGAGGGCTATTTTTCTGACATTTCCCCATGTCTTTAATAGCATGTAACATTCCTACATACATGTACATTTACAACTGCATTTTTTTTAACTACAAAATCCCACTTTCATCATTCCCTTACCCCACCCCTCCCCCAAAAAGTCAAGGTCGTGTCATTGCCAACAACTGGGTACACTGCATGTGACTTTCTAGAACTTCAATGAGTTGATCTTTGTTTCTCTCTAGTCTTTCATTGTTGGCAGTGTTTGTTAAGAAATGCTTTCTACCCACTCATTGATTTTGTACGTAAAGAACAACCCTGTTACAACAAAATGTTTGGTACAGTGGTCATTTCGTGTAGCAATTTTCAGTCACTGATGCGCCCCTTTTTGGCTCAGGCCAATTCGTACATGTTGTGGCCCGCCTCATGAATGTTTTGCAAGAGGATTTTGGGCAACTTACAGAATATCAAGACAAAAGTGACACCAAGATAAATGCATGTTGTTGAACTTCATATTTCACCTTGTAGGTACATGTACATGTACCGGTACCGTAGTTCTCACTGGAAGTTGAATTGCATACTGAAATCGAGTTTTTTAGGAGTTTTCCTTGAGTCATCTCTTGAAAATCACATGTTGTGCGGCCTAAGTCAGGAACGTAAGAAATGCCAGGCAAACGCTGTGGAAAATGATGAAAGCAAGCAAAAGCTGCATACTTTTTCCTGTTTTGATAAATATTTTCAAGGTAACAAGGCTTGTCTTTGCAAGCAAGATAAGACAAAGCAAGAGTTTTTGTATCAGAATCACCGTTGCTACATGTTCATGCACTAGGTGCATGGCCTAGGCAGCAGTCAGTCAATATGGCCACCTGTGCACAAATGCAAATCTCATACCAATAAATGTAACTGAAAGTGCCACATGTGGACCGATGTTTCTTTGCAGTTAATATTACTCTCGAGTCATTATGTTCAGTCACCCAAAAGGTTTTTCATGGTTAAAGCAAATTTTTAATGATCGGTAAAATTGCACAGAAAATTTGTTTGGTATTGTATAGTGGAATTGTCCTGTAATTATAATGTTGGATGTTACTGTTTACCCAAACTTACCCTGCTGTTAAAGAAACGTGTACCCACCACTGCTGCCCCATGACAAATTTTGTTGAATATTTAATATCGATCCTCCTAGATCTTTCAAAGTCTAACAGGAAGGTTCAGAGGACTGGAGGAATTTAAAAGACCAACCAACACACACATCACTTTTCATAACGCTATGAAATTTTGGACATAAAAGGGAAATAAAAGTACTAAGAGTGTGCTGTTGGTTTCCATCAAAGTGAAGGATGTTGAAGGGATTTAATACATGTAAGTAAGGTCCCTAGTCAAAATATGCAAGGCAGTTAGTGTAAATGGTCAGTGCAAGACAAAATTGTGAATTAATTTTGACATTTTTGTTCTTAAACCAGTTCATATTATTTTCTGTTTTTTCCTTTCTAACCTTTCACACAACTCCACAGTGCACTTGCAGGTTGAAGAGATCAGCCGTCAGCTCCGTTCTGGAGATCTGGGAATCCCGCCTCCCGAGGATAGGTTTGTGCTTCTCACCCAAAGCGTAACCTTTTCTTTAAACCGCTTTTCTCTTCTCAATTTGTCACTTCTTTTGCATCGATGGCAGTTGAGAATGTTGGCATTTCAAGATTTTTGTCTGTTGGTTACTGAATGCCTTATTTGCAGAAGCCATAGATCTATGCATTTGTACGTATGATATAAACAAGTTTGAAAAGATCCCTACTTGGCCACAGTACTGCGTTACTTGTGCAATTGAAATAAATCAATTTAAAGTGAAAACAGTTCATAGAAGAATAGAGTGATACATGTACAGTATCTACCGCAGCAATAACAGAAATTGTTTCAAAGAGGTGCCAAGGTTTGAACAATTTTCTCGGATAATAACATATTGTGAATTGTATTCTGAAGAATTTTCGTTGTTAAATTCAGTAAAACAAAATTTACAGTGATATGTCACAAAGCTTCACAAAATATGAAACAATCAGAAATGAGGTAGCTGTTATTACCAGGATTCAACTTAAAAATATAAAAAATTCTGAAAGTACCTTTCGTTGAAATTGGTGTTATCCTGATTGTTGATAATTTGTGAAGACTTGAGACTCTTATGTGTTAAAGGAGCAAGATAAAATAGCAGATCTCAATGACGGTTAAAGATCACAGTAAATTTGGAAAAATACTATTCTGTAGAGATCACAGTTGCCCTTTTCATCACTAAGGCAACAATGACTCGGAGAGCTAGTGCTGGCATTTATCCACAGGAGTCGTTGCTGGCATTCAGTGAAATGTATTGTTCTGCTTATAACCCATTTTTTCATGTCAGTCCGGCGACTGTCCTGTCGGGCAAAATTAACAAGCGTTTTCCCCTGGAGATCAGTCCAAATGCCAGACAACCCTTTTCTGCTGCCAGGAGGGAAAGGCTGTATTAAAGTTACCCCCACCCCCCTTTTTTTAAAACAAGCTTTCCTCTCTTTTTACATGAATAATAACCTGATTGTAATTGTATTTCTGTTATTATTCATTATCCAGCGAACCTAATCTTTCTCTTTTGAAAGGTTGGCTATGCTGTCTGTCTCTCCGCCGTTAAACGTCGGCTGCTGCCACCACCTCTTCAATCACAATGTCCATTTTGAATAATCACCATGAAAATTAACCATTTTGTTCCCAACGGCAGCCTGTGGCAGGCCAGATGGAAATCACAGAGAGAAAAAAAAAATTAACCACATCTTATTTTCCCCCTGAAACGTCAATAACCATCATTTTGTTCCTTGTGATTCCCAAGGAGAGACTCAATTGCTTGACCTTAATTTTCTTCAGGGGATCAAAGAAGTGCCTTGGCTTCTTAACTAGACATCAGTTTCCTTCCCTAAAAAGGGAAAAAATTGCACACCTGACACAGTACACTCCCCATTTTAGCATTTCCTTACCCCTGTGAAAATACATGTACATGTATAACCCTGACTTTACTTTGATTGAGTACAGCCTCTGAGTATCAGCCACTGAGTTTTGCTTAAAAAACTCTGTCCACACCAGTATAGTGTCTAGGTGAAACAAAGTTAACCTCTGGAGTCAATTTCACTAAGCAATATGTTAAGAAATATGCACGCTGACAATATTTGGTCAGGGAAAGCAGGTTATCAGCCAAACAGCCGCACAATGTAATGTGCCTTTGGTTGGTTACGTACTTGAGTACTGTTTCGCAGTTGAGTGAAATTATGTTTGGATTTGCTGGGTAAATTCAAAACTACATGAATTGAGCCTAGCTGTCATTACTCCTCACAGAGCTTTGCATGTCCAATTTTGGCTGGCCATGAATGGAAAATGTGCCATTTGCTTATGCCACTCAGTGTTAGATTTTGTTTCTTGATGCAAATCTAGGCTTTCAACACTTTCCCCTTAATAAAATTCACTGCTTTCACAAGAGCGTAGGAACCTAAATGAAGATACATGTACAAAAAAGTCACAGTAACAGCGTTGTGAATTTCTTCACAGACTTGAACACTTGAATAATTTTTTTGTACATGAGTGAGGTAATAGGCTTAACTTTATTGTTTGACTGGAATGCATGCATGTTTATTAATCTTTGGCCTATTCAATCTAACAGCAGTCAACAGTCAAATTCTTACTTTGGCCATGTTGACCAGAGCAGCGAACAAAAAGCCCTTTGTTTGACCTTTTGCTTTTCACTGGAATCCAGGAGGGTTGTCATATTCTGTGGGAGTCCCTGCTTTGGCTGGGAGAAAGCAGAACGGTGTTTATTGTTGAATTGTACCTCAGTCTGTACACAGTTTCTAGGTTAGAATTGGAGTTACGTAGGTTGTAGGAGTCTCTACATGCTCAGTTTAGATTTGTACCCTGCATTGGCAGGTAGAGGCTGCTGGTCCACACTGATCTCAAAACCACCCTCTTGCGTGTGGCCATTACACATACATGTAGTAGACTGTGATCAGTTTAGAACAAGTTTGATCAGGAGTTATTGGTTATCTCCTAATTGATACGTGGAATGCCTTGTTCCTGTGCACTGGTTTGAAAAAGTCAGAACCTGCAGTTTGACTACATGTATGTCAAGCACTATAGTACTCCACTGTCCAACTGCCCTGCTATCCACAACAATGCATGTGGCCACGAATGACCAGTGGTGCAACAGACCCTCATAGGCTGGTCCCCAAACAGCTGATCAGACTGTGCAAGTCATGGTCAGGAGTATGTTAAGTGAAACCAACTCAGACTATGGTTAATCATTTGTGCTTGATTAGACTTGGCATCCACTTGTGGCAACTGCAGCCGTAGTCCTGTAGTATTCCCGAACAAAATGGAACACATTCATGTAGGGGTTCAACTTGCAACCAGTGGTCTCGGCACTTGACCCAATTTCCTGGAACACAAAAGAAGGCTTTGCAACTGTATCTGTTTAGCAAACCTCGGTTGGAAACCAGTCACGAGTAGTACATACCGGTATGGGTACATGATATAATGGCTGGTAATCTACCAGGGTTTCTGCTATTAGCATGTATTTTTGTCCTCAGCAAATTTCAGTTTCAAGCATCTCTAAGAAGTTGGGCCCAGGTCAACTCATATGTATTAACAGCTGGAGTATTCTCCTAGCACTTTTTTTTTTCATGTGGTCTTTCTTTGGCAGGTCACCGTCGCCAGAGCCTGTCTACAATCATGAGGGGAAGCGCCTCAACACGCGGGAATACCGAACCCGCAAGAAGCTGGAGGAACAACGCCATATTCTCATCCAGGAGGCTATGCTGCTCAACCCGGACTATAAGCCGCCTGCAGATTACAAGTATGTGCCATGTAGTTTTCCAGTTCCACACTCCAGACGCTTCACATTAAGCCAATTTGTTACTTCATTAAAAGCAGGGTGTTTCAAGAAGAAAGCACCTGACGTCATGCTTGTATGAACATGTTCTTGTATTGGTATGTGCGTTAGCATACAACTGTGCTGATGGGGATCGACCTTGCTTACGTGTACTGATCTCAAATGATTTGTGATGCACTTTGCTTTGTCCGTGTGTAGTTTGAATACCAAACTTACTCATTTGCCGTAACTGCCTGTGTGATTTTTGTACCCCCTAATTTCCATCATTTGCTTGGTTCTTTTAGGCCGCCAGTTCAACGTGTGAGTGATCGAGTCATGATCCCGCAGGATGACCACCCAGACATCAACTTTGTTGGACTTTTAATCGGGCCACGGTAGGACATAAGACATTGTCTTTTGCAGTAGTTTTTCTTGAGTCAGTAGGATCAGTCACTAGGTAGCTTGGCTTTGCCCAAATGTTAACGGGTAAATGGTCTCAAGGTGTTAGACACTGTGTAAGTTACCTCCTTAAAAATGATATCACAATTTATTTACAGTGGAAACACTCTGAAGAAACTGGAAAAAGATACAGGAACCAAGGTCATGATCAGGGGCAAAGGGTCGGTCAAGGAGGGCAAAGTGGGCCGCAAAGATGGTCAGCCCCTTCCTGGCGAAGATGAACCCCTCCACGCCCTGGTAACGGCCAACACCTCAGAAGCCGTCAAGAAAGCTGTCGACCAGGTAAGCTGATTTGAGTGTTGAATTGTTCTTGTCCTGGTCCAATTTTGTGGACTTGACTGCCTCTCGGAAATGGCCGTCAGTGGAAGGTACATGTAGCTGTAGCCAATTGTTTTCATAGGCGCACACGTTATTCTCAGCCCTAACTGGTTGAGATGGCTTTTAAAATGAAATTGATGCACATGGCTTGTTACTGTTCTCTGTTAATTTTGGCTCGGAACGTAAACTTGTTCAGCAGCTCTGTAAAATCCGGCCTATATACAGTGATATACATGTATGTATGTGTATCTATATTATTGGGAAGGGCAGAATAAATTTGTTTATATGGGCAAATAAAATTTGTCACCTTGGATGCTTGGAAATTCTTGATGCAAAAATGGTGTTTGCTGTGACACTGTTGCTTTTATGCAATAAATACCTGTTTTTCACGTGCTCAGTGTTTCTTTGCTGTCATGCAACCAGTTTTCATTAATTGCATGCCACACCTGTTTGTTCCTTGCAACAAATTCATGCTTCTATCACAAGACTTTGTTTTCTAATGTCAATTTATGTTGCTGGTGATAATAAATGTGAAGTCTAAGGTGCAGGTTGAGTACCTCTAGACTTTTGAAGTAAACTTTTGTCTAGCTTCAGTTGGTGTTCATCTTTCATTCCTGAAAAAAGGACCAACGAATTTCACAGCGCCCGTTTATGCCCCATGAAAATAATTTCCGGTTTCTCATCAGACGTATTTGAAAAGTTCACTGAAGTATAGAGCCTCCCTCCCTCCTCCAGAAGTAAATGTATCTAACTCTGCCTCCAGTGTAGTTTGGAGGCTTCAGATTGAATGATAATCAGGTACATAGCCCTCTATTTCTGCCAGCAAACGTTTACTGTAGAACATTTCAGGTCTTAAGAATTTGGAGAAATCAGGGCCCAATTTTATGGCGCTGCTGACCGCAGCATTCCACGCTTACGATCTCCATTCTGCGCCAGTGGTGCTAGCACAAAATTTCTGTGCTAACCTTTCAAGCACAGAATCCTTACATGTAGTTACGGGATGTACACATGCACACAAGCCAAAATTCCTTGCTGACCGTAAGCATAGAACTTTTTGCTATGGTAAGTGCCGATTTTTTGCTTGCGGTAAGCAGCACCATGACATTGGGCCCCAATCACCTGTCTGAAATTTAAGCAACCTGTTATTCAGACTAGTACACTACTGCCCTCCTGTTGCCTTCCAAACTGAGTAAGATCCTGACTTCATATCGTAATTAGTGAATCAACACTCCAAATTCTGCTGTGAAAGTTGCTGGATAGTTCATTGTAAATGGAAGTTTTATATAAATAAAAGGAAATGGACGCAGCACCGGTTGTGGAATGCAGATACAGATTAGGGACTGGGAATTATGTCATGTGATCTTATGCTTACTGTCCCATGCTGCCCTTTACACTTCCTCAAGAAAATACACAAACCTTTCCTGCATGAACAATAATACCCAATTCAAAATGTTAATGTAATGGAAGAAGTGCCTGCATATGCTCACATTTTTATTTGGTGTTCGTGCATTTTTTTCCTCAATCGTGGCACATTTTAAATGCACCTTCCTAAAACATTCCATAGCAGTCAGTGTTAACGAGTGTAATGTTGGCCATTAAGTAAAAAAATCCATGTTTCTCATGTTGAGTCACATTTCCCAAAGTTTAAAAAGAAGAGAGTTAAATTTTTTTTGTGTGACTACAGTAAGTTAGATACATTTATACAAGGAAATGGCATTTTGGATTAAAAAAAACCTTATTTCCTTGTAAATCCTGGCTACAATTGGGAGAAAAAAAAGTAAATCATGATAAATTATAATAAATTTTTTGCTTACTGGCTGCATGACTTGATTATGTTCAACACCATTTCTGCTTCTCTCCACAGGCCAGGAACCCCCAGTATGCATGATTCTTGTGTCATCCACATTTGATTTGATCATGGTCATTATGCAGTGTTTCAGTTTATTTATGTTGAATCTGAGCCCCCATCAACTGATCACCAAATACCTTGCAAATTGCAACCAATTGGAACCAGCTATAATGAGAGCAATGTTGAATGCAATACTGTGCTGCACCTTGCCAAAGAGAATGTTGTGTTTCATGGTTCTTCAATAGCTTAAAGGGTAGCTGCAATCATTTTTTTGTAATACAGCCCTTCAAAATGCACCTTTGTGTCTCAGTTAACCTTTTTTTCAACTTTGGCCTCACTACTTCAACGGGTATTTTGCTGCTTGTTTAGTTTTTAGGCTAATGAGTATTCCATATTTATGAGCAAAACTGTGATGTCATCCCAGAACGAAAGTCTAAATTTACACTGGCTTTTACACAAAAATGTCATGCATTTTTGTAGATTTTGGTGGACTTAATTTTTTCTTCTTTGTCAATTACTGTTGGTCATTATGCAGCAACACCCTCGTCAGTTGTCCAGGAAAGCATGGATAATTTTAAGTGTTTAACAAAGTGCATTTTCAGTGCAATTTTGGGAACATGAAAGAGTTCATATATGTACATTGAAAAAGAACACAAAGGTGCAGAAAAGTTGTGTCAAAAAAATTCACTGCGGCTACACTTTAAAGTCTGATCATACGGGGAAATTTTCTGATCATAACTTTCTAAAGATGACACCTCATCTGGCCTTGACAAACAAAAGATTAAAAGCAGCTGATTCCTGAGTACTCCCTTGTCAAATTTTAACCCTCTGTCATTACTAACTGTATAATTACCAGCCCCTACACTACGCATATGCGTGGCATACCTTGCCGTTTGTGTTCACCAGATGGGTCATTCCGTGAGGTAGGGGCAAGATTTGATGGTGCTTGTTACATGCACAACTTTTACCACTTGTCATGACCAGGAGAGTAGGTCATTTGCTCTGTACAAATAATACACACGTCTGCATTCAGTCTTGTAAGATGTATATCAATGTCAATTTGGAAGCCACATGCAGGGAAATAGCTGTTCATTTTTACGAAACCCATGTAACAATTGACACTGTCACAAATTGTGCCCCAGCCTCATGGAATGACCCAGGTACATCCAACAGTGTACACCTTCAGACCACTGTTGCATTGTATGTTGCACTTTGCTTGGGTTTGGTTACAACTTGTATTGCTCAGTTGGAACTCGGGACATTGGAAGTGTGTGGGAATGTCATGAAATGGCTAGTTCAAAATTTCAGTGTCCTGACTTTCAAGAGGGGACGTAGAGCAATCGGCTGATGGCAAAATAGGTTACCAACCAAGACACACCGTTCACAGCAGTCCACACTGGCTCTTGGCCAGGTGTGTCACCCGCTTGTGTACTAACCCCCTCTTGCTCCACAGTAACTCCGCCCCTTGTCGCCAATATCTCTCCTCCCCCACTAGATCAGGTACATCATCAACAATGGCATAGAGGCGCCAGAGGGTCACAACGAGCTCAAACGGTCGCAGTTGCGCGAGCTCGCCGCCCTCAATGGAACCCTCCGCGACGCTGATGTCTCAAGGTATCTTGAGTGTCAAACTGGAAAGAAAAGTGATGTGTCAGTCTGTGCTTGCGTACTTATAGTTCCCCCTTTTTTTTTTCTTGTTTCTTTCATTCCTACACCTGTCCTTCTTCCCACTACACCATCTCTTCTTTGATGTTGTGCGGTCGCCTTTCTTTGGTGTTGCCCCGACCCCTTTCCCTTCCTTTTTTTTTCTCCGTTGCCTTGGTGGTGGTTTTGTAGATCCGTGAGATTATCAAGCAGGGAATTGAGACGCCCGAGGGGCAGAATGATCTGAGAAGGATGCAGCTGCGTGAGCTCGCTCGTCTCAACGGTACACTGCGAGACGAGGACACCACAAGGTTTGTTTGGGACCAAGAAGGGGGATGGTTAATGCCCCCACCCATGAAAAATAGTAATCCTCGGTGGGAAATATGGGATCTGGAAGTGCATTTAAACAGGGCAATTTTCTACTCACAAGCTCACTCCAGTGAGCGCCACCTTGAAATGGCAAGTTACATATTTCATAAATGATGACATGGATTCACGCAAAGCAGGTTTCCCATGCAAAACGACCATTTTTAACCACTGGCAGAAACTCTCAAAACAAGCCAAGAGGTATGTTACTGAACAAAACAATTCCTAAAATTTTATCCAATTTCCTTGAAATGCACACTGTACCTGTAAGATACAAAAATAAATAGGTTTTAACTTTCTAAAGCCTTCATTTTTTCATCAAGTGTTTGGTTTGATGCAAGTGACTGTACTCTTTGAAACATGGTGCTTTTTTTTGTTACAGATGTTCCAATTGCGGCGCCCTCACACATCGTACCTGGCAGTGCCCCGAGAAACAGAACATCACCAGTACCATCGTCTGTTCCCTGTGTGGTGGCACGGGCCACCTTGCGCAGGACTGCCGTGCCAAGCTGGACGGTAGTGGGATGGGCGGTCCCATGGGTGGTGGGGGTGGACCCTTGGGTGGGCCCAATGGTGCCCCACCCCGGATGGCAGGCCCTAGTGCAGCCGAGAAGGCCAAGATGGACTCGGAGGTAGGGATAGCATTGATATGCGTGTGACCTTTACTCCCTCTGGGACGGTTTAATCATTGCAGCACTGCGTGACACCTCAGTGCATGTCTGGGCTAAGCTGTCATTGGTGTAATCTGTCATTGTGCTCTGACACTGAACCAACTGAACCAGACTTGCACAGTGTGATGGTAAGGTGAGGGGGTCGTTCCATTATTCAGAACAGTTGCACAGGGGTGGACCATTACTGCATTATTGACCATTGTGTGATGTGTCACAAAGTAATGTCATGGATATTGCATGGTGTTAATTTAGGAGACGGCAAAATCTCCATTTCTACCTCATCTTTTCTCTTCAGAAACTAAACCTAATTGGAAAAGGGATAATAAGGTTGATATTTTAATGAAAATTTAAAGTGTATTTTTTGTGGTAAATAAGCCTTCAAAATGTCACAGCATGGACTTCGACTCTTCTGTTTCACAATTTTAAACTTCATGTTATCAGTTTTTATTATCAGTGAGAGCAACTCGTTGGAAAGCTTATGTTAGCACACTATAATTGTAGTTAAGAAAGTTCCGTTTAGGAGTGCCACAGCCATTGATGCAATGACTTCAAAGACTGTTCTCGCCTCTCCCACCCGCAGTATATGTCCCTCATGGCAGAGCTCGGTGAAGGACCACCCCCGTTGGAGCCCAAGATGAACATGCCTCCGCCCCCTCACAGCCAGCAAGGCCCGCCCAACATGGGTGGACCCAGGCCACTTCTGTCCACCCCGCCCAACCAGCATAACCAGAATCATCAGAATCATCCCCGCCCGCTGGTGAGTGACACTGCTTTGATAAACATCAATTTAAAAAAAAAAAATCGGAATATATAATTCTGTTGGCATGCGCAAATGGTTGGCTTGCAGAGTGTGAATATTGCTGGTCAAAAAATATTGAAAACAGAAACTGGAAACAAAACAAACCACACATAGGGCCATTGATTTTCCGTTAAATGGGTATCCGTTTCACCAAATCCCGAATTCCGCTTCAGAAATTCAAATTCCATTTCATACCTTAGTAAGCATAAGAAAGGGGAGCAAGTTTTAAATTATGCATGGGAACTGTTTGCCCAACTTTATTCCCCCCCCAAAAAAAGAAAGAAAAGAGAAGAAACAAATTTTGTTTTAAAATACTCTGCAATGTTTCCAACTTTTTAAAATAATTTTCTGTAGTAAAAATTTAAAAAATCCACACATTAAGTATTGAATTCCCCCTCCTTGATTTCCCACCAGTACGATTGTCAAAAACTTAATCAATTAATCAATGGACAATTCATGTGTCACTCCTCGTGTATAGAATCAGATTACTTTTAAATTGTGGAAAGTTTTCTTTACTTTTCAAGCCATTTTTATCGACAAATTTTGTAAGTTCCGTTTCAAGCAATGGATTCTGTTTCATAGTGTTGATTCTGTGAATTCCGTCTGTTTTCCATGATCGCGGAAAATCTTTGACTCTACAGTTACAATAAATAGTTAACTTTTGTATGAAACCTTTTTTTAAGCAAACCTGTTCCTTTTTCAAGTGCTACCATATGTGCTGAACATGTGCATAAAATTATTCCAAAAAAAAAAACCTTCCTATTTCCCATTGTTTCCAAAAGCAAAATTTTAATCCCATGTTCAGAAATAAGCAGCTTTGATGTAGATGATGCGTGTTTGCTGCCTTTGCCCGTTCAAGCATTGTTGAAATTTGCATAGGGATAATGGTCGGAGCCAGACTACAACTCTGCGTTCTACACATGCCTGGACGGATATTGTGTTTCCACGTATAATCAGGGCACCTTAACATCCAATCACCTTTGGTGGGACTTGGTTTGAAGATTTTGTGGGTGAAGTAATTGCAGGATGTATGATTGATTCAAGGTTGTGTGTGCATGCATCAAGCTCATCACTAGTTGATACTGTTATGCTGTTTCTACTGTTGCAGATGGGGCAGAATTTTCAGCCCCATTGGATGAACAAGGACCACCATGGACCCCCTGGTCAGAACAAGCCCCCGAGTCTCCTGGGCATCCCTCCTCCCCACCACCACCGTGGGCCCCCAGGAGGCGGAGGTGGTCCCCCGGGACCACCTGGCCATCCCTCAGGCCCTCCACCTCCCAATTTTGGTGGCCCGCCTCCCCCTGGTGGACCCCCCGGCCAGTTTGGTATGAATCCGCCTCCCCCGGGACTATTACCCCCGCCAGGCATGATGCAGCCCCCTCCAGGCATGATGAATATGCCGCCCCACGGCATGGGGGGTGGGAACCCGCCCCCATGGGGGATGCCTCCACCGCCACCGGCCTCACAGCAGCAGACAGCAACAAGTACCATTCCCACATCTGCAACAGGTACACTGCTCTGGCTTTTACAAGTGATGAAGTGTAACAACCTTACATGACCTTTTTCCTTCAGAAACAGTGCAGAATTTAATTTTCCTTCTTTACACCGACAGTCAATTCAAAAACACCATCTTTCATGTTCTAGTCTCTTCGTTTTACCTGGTGGCACATCATCAATATGGCCTGATCAACATCAGGAGACAACATAGTCACTGAAGCATGAAGTAAATGAAATCCCCAATGTCTGATTAATCCTCTCCACACAAAAATTCTTGTGACATTTAAAAGAGTTAATACTAATGTACCAGTGTTCAGAATGATCTAGCGGTGCATTTTCATGACCCGTCATTGAATTTTCTATGCAATTTCCAGTCTCCTTAACCGACACCAGAAAGAAAAGGGGTCGGTGTGATTGTTTACACTTCATACATTGTAGTTTACAGTACATACGGGTGATAATTTGTAACTAATCTGTCAACTTCTCTATCTGTTTGATAGCTATGCCGACACTGGCTGGCATGCAAGCACTGGCCATGCCCGTACCTCCTCCACCCACGTCACTCCTGGCCGCACCCCCGCCTCCACCTCCGAGCAGTGATCCACCCCCTCCACCACAGCCCACATCAGCCGCCCCATGGCAAGTCCAAACAAGTGCAGGTAAGAATGGGAAACTAGTAAGCTTGCAACCGTAAGAGAACTTGTTCACTATTCATAAAATTGTGGCGAATGAAGAAGAATTTTACAGTGGGTAGGGTAAGTGTGGGTATACCCGATTGGGGGGAGAACCCCATCAGCCGAGATTTTTTTCATATAGTAGGGCCTACAGACTGTGACGTGAATGAAATGAATAGAGTGTAGGCCCTACTATATGAAAAAAATCACGGCTGATCGGGTTCTCCCGCCGATCGGGTATACCCACACTTACCCTAAGCATCTAAAATGCAAAGTGCTCAGTAAAAACACTTCATGTGGGAGCATACATTTGTCTCAACAGGCAGCATGTTGGTTTTATTCATGCCGACAAGTTTTCTGAAAAGAGAAAAAAAATTGGTGAGAAGCTCACGACTTACAAGTTATCCGTCATGTCAGTTTAAATGAGAAGACCTGCATGTATTTAGCAATTGAAGAGTAAAAATTTCATCTAAAGTTGATATTGAGGGAACATCTCAAAAGTTGGAGTGTTTACATTTCCTTTGGATTGTTCCTTTATGGAACACTGTGTGCTCCAGATGGGAATGCACTTACTCTATTCCATTAGCAATATGCCATTCCTGTTCAAGCTTGGACTCAAGGACTATTACCATTTGGGAAGAGGGGGGGGGGCTTGCCAGAGTTTAGAACTCTTCTATGCAAAGATGCATTCTTGACACAGTTGTCTTATCAGTCAAAACCAGTCACATTTCCCATATGTGTCTGTGTACTGGGGGAAATCAAGTGGAAGGATTTTTTTTACTGTTTTTGACGTTTACAGCGAAAGGAAGGTTGGTTAGAGAAGCTCCCTGACATCTACAGATTTTGGATGTATTTCGTTTGGGCTTGGTAGTATTTCGTTTTGTTTCCGTATGACTTGAATTTTACTGGAGTGGGACACACAATTATTCAGAGTATAAGGCCCTTTTGTGGGTAAGCCAAGACCCCCCAAAGAGCTGGTGAATTTCAGACAGACCGTAATGACATTCTTAGCCCTACATGTGTAGCTGTATGTTGCATGGAAGTTTTTTAACCAAGTATGGTCAGGGTTAAACCATCATCCTTCTCTCCATAGGCGGGAGACCGGTGGTCTCAACTACCGGCCTGGCGACCTCGCCACCATGGCAGCGCCTTGCTCAAGGTATTGGACGTTGCCTGAAAGCTCTGAAACAAAAATGCATGCAAAATACCCCTCACCTTCTTTCTTCAATTGTAGTGTGTCATGCTTGACTGAAAGGGTTTTTTGGGGGCCGTATATTACTGGGCATTCGCTTCAGCTCGAATTCAACAACTGACTGTCTAATGCTCCCAATAAGTTTCGAAAGTTGACAGGTTAAGCTTGAATGACTTGCACAGCTTTTGTAAAAGTCCCGGCACACAACCATCTAACAAACTTTGCTACTTTAAATTCAAATGTTTTGATATTTTGCCCACAGATTTAGCACATGTATACTTCAGAATCCTTTGACGTAGTCTTCTACAGAGCACTATGCCACTCCAAAAGTCTTTGTCGATCTTTTTTCACGGTAAACCCAGCCCAAGCATTTGATATTAACCATGCTTCACTGCACTCAGCATCTGGCATGTTTGGTGCTGCAGTGAACCTGTTGCAGTTTTTGACTGCTAAGCTTTCCCACACGAGAGTCTGAATGGTTTTTGTATCCCTTTACATATTTGCGGTCAACTTTGGGTTGATAGTGGAGTTGGTAGAAGTGCTTATACGTTCAGCTGATTCTGTCAGATACTTGATATAAAACAAGACAGTGCAGTAGGTTGTCTGCCGTTGTGAAGAAAAATGACAAACTTCTGTATTTTGTATGTTTGCTGGTTTGATTCCTTTGAATCAAACCAGCATTAGTAACCAGTTTATTATTTACTCAAGAAAAATAACGACAAGCTTTTCTCCATCCGCAGAAGAAGTAATAGTGAATGCCTGTGTTTTCCCTCATCACCCCAGCATATATTGTCTTAGCAGTTTTTGTTCTTTTGCATGCTGTTTCTTTTCTGAATTTCATGCTTAACAGAAATCCATGCTTCTGTGGTTTGCAATTTTGCAGGTGCACCCTGACCTCTGAACACTTGTAGGTGTCTGAAACTCCAATATTTTCCAGGGTTTAGAATGCAGAAGAAATACATGTGTGCAAACATCCTACTGATGCAAATTATACCCAGTCTTTGGGGTGTAACGGCACATTTTCAGTTTCTTTTGACACTTCAATACCTAAAACAGGTGGAATTGTGAATGCTGCCAGCAGCAACAAATTTACCAAATTATCTCGATTTCAGACCTAGAATCTCTGAATACTTGGTGAATTTACCTTTCCCCTCAGAAATAGGGTTATCAAATTTGGTCATGGTTTGGTTTCTTGTGTGATTTCTCGTTGATGACTGCGCAGGGGTACACCATTTTAGTGTTTGCATGGGGCCTGAAATTACCCTGTTAATGTAACCTTGCTTAGAATGTAATTTCATTTGTGCAGATTTATTAGTTTAATTCATTCAGCAAAGTTCATTTGTTTTTGGAAGCATGGCTTTTCGTCTGTCTGTAGTCTTGTAACCACCATCCTCAAAGGCTAGAGGAGCTCAACGTCTGCTGAAAACTGATGCCCTTGGAAATTCAAACAAGTTGATCAACTCGTTAAGTCATTTTAGATTCTACTGTTGAAGTATAGAGGACCCATCTGGATTTTGGCAAATAGCTAACCATTTAATAGAAGACATCATGTGTTTAAGACAAACGCACCAGCCATGCAGTGCTTGCCCTGCTGTAATGCATTCCAGCTTGTGTTGTGGATTTCCCTTCAACTATTCAACATTAAAAAAAAAATCAATTAGCATAGTTTTGCAGAGTGGAAATGCCTGAAGCTAATATAAGCAGATTGATTTCCAGTACAAGTCTTACCCCATTTTACAGGTTTGCATCGGTACACATCTGATTGTCAGACTACGCACAGCGAACTGTTTGAATTCCCTCCGAAATCATTGTTGATTGGACACAAGTCACATCTATGCTGAACAATTGCTTCTCTGTTTCCTTTCTGTTCGGTATATTTTTAGGGACCAATTTGACCGTATCATATTTACTACAAATTTGCCTTGCAGGGATATGAGAGATGTCTGGAAAAGGTCCATATAAGTGTTGTAAAAATTTTTTTTTGGCACCATACCAAAGTGCTCTATGGTCTGTTCTGCTTCATTCTAACCCATGACACATTGTTTTCCTTTGTTCCAGAGGGAGGGCTGTCAGTTGGCGTATCAGTGGCAAATCTGCCATGGCATCAGCCCACAGGTACTCTCCTGCCATGTAATGAACTGCTTTGTCTTGTTTGTTCTTGCCTGTGTTTATGGGAAGATTACAAACCTGTTTTCTTTCAGTTACAGATGTTCTGGTATGGTGCTAAAATCCTGTGACTTTCATTCACCATTAATTCGGATACAGCAGGTTTTTGGGGTTATAACTGAAATTTCTGACCCCATAGTCGAATTAACACTTCATATCTTTTAATCCTGCATAGGAGTTTTCCTGAAGCACATGTTTTTCCCTTTTTAACTGTCTTGTCGTTTAGATTTGCTGTCGTGTAACTTTTTTGCAGACCATTTAATTCCTCTTTGTTTTCAATTCCCTTCTTTTCTTCTTCGCAAACAATAAGATAAACAGAACTAGGAATGGGATTTCCTCCTCTTATTCCCAGTGTTTAAGTTGAGAGCAAACCATTTTCAGTTGTGCCAGCACCATCTTTGTGGATGTAACTCGATTGCAGAATTGTTTTTACATTTAATCAGTGTTAGGGTGTGGGCTTCAAAGAAGATGTATTAAAATCAAAGACTGCACAAGTGTTTGTGATCACAAATTTGAGAAATTGACAGGCATCTTTTGTGTTCTTTGTAGCTCCGACAACCACAGCCAGCGCCGTGAGTGCAGCAGCTTGGCAACAGCTCCTGCAACAGCAACAACACAGCACAGCAGCAACAGCCACAGGTCTCTACGGTGACTACCCAAGCAACTGGCTCTCAGGCATCACTGACTGTGCCGCCTCCGCCCCTGCAGTGGGCAGCGGTTCCACCCCCACCCCCGATGCAGTCTCCGCCCCCGATGGCTGCACCCCCACAGTCGGCCCCCTTGCCCACGTTTCAGCCTCCCATGCCACAGGGTCCCCCACCCCCGTTACCCGGACAGATGGCCTTCAGTCAGCCCCCACCCCCACTGTCTCAGATGCCTCCAGCCCTCGGTCAGCCACCCCCACCTCCGCCCCCTTCTTAACTGGAATGTGCAGAAAATGGCAGCAGGGTCTTCGATCACATTTTGGGAACCCAAGTACGAATTTTGATTGTAAAAGTCTGTTTGTATACTAAAATTAGTTTGTATTCAAATATTACTGATTATTACATCTTGCTGCACGTATGGTTTAATAATCACATCAATGGATCAAGGCTATTGTTAACTTTGGAGGACTTTGTTGTCTGATTCTCAGTATAGAGTAAGATACAAGGCTAGTTAATGGTCAGTTGAGGAAGATGGAGTTGGTCATGGCTTAGACTCCATCTCCAGCTGAAGGACTTGCCAACCTTATAAACCAAGCCTCGTAACTTTCCTGACCTCCTTAACTCAACATTTTGCATTGAAACCTGTATTCTGTGCGTTTAAATCATCAACATCCGGCTGTAAACATGTAAATCATATTTTGGCTGGTAATCTGTTCATCTTGTTCTTACCATGTTTATTTGAAGTTTACAAACTTTCAGTTCTTACCTCCATTAAATTGGCCAATACATGTATTTATGAATGTGGCCATATAAGTTAGGAAAAGGATCACTTTGTATAAACTGTATAGTTCGATAATCCTATTTTAAGTCTTTTACCCTTCCGTTTGGTTATTGAATGTAAATGCGTTGATTGCACACTTTCATTTATGTGCATTGAAATGAAATTGTTTCTTGAGCATCGAGGAGGTCAATTTGTGGGTAAGGTCATTGACCTTTTCAGTGGGTACATTTAGGTTTAAAATTTGGGGGGGAGTGGATTACATTGTAGTGTATTTTTAGAAGCTTTCAAAACATTTGAAGTCATACTGGAACATTTGAAATCTCACAAATTTTGTTTCCAATTTTCATTTAACATAAGAAATTAAGGCCCAAGGAATTATACCATTGCCTTAGCCTGCAGTGAGCTGACGAGCATATACACACTTCCTCAAGAGAAGTGGTGTTCTTACTTATCCTGTCTGCAGTTCCTGGCCTCTTTTCAATTTCAGTGTAAAAATGTGGCCCAGATCTTTGATTAATATGACTTCACATTGGCCAGAGAAGTTTTAAAAGTAAAAGGCTGTTCTAAAAGTATGGGTTTTTTTTTCATCTTCAACAAGGTTTTTGTATTTGTAGCACATGTATATTGCTTGCTTTTAGAAGGCAGTTCTCCACATGGTTTTATGTCCGACAATGCATTTTGTCCCATACCCCCAGTGGTGCTCCTCTGCCCCCCAGTGGTTGGCATGGAGATATGAAATGCTGTGCACAACTCCACGAATAGCTGCAATAGGTTGTGGGACTCCTACCAGACTTGTATTGTGAACACATGGACGTCACAGATAACTGCTGGTTTGCCCTTTTGCTGATGCTTATTTTATAATCCATGTAAATGAAAACCCTGAATGGAACATCTGTTTCTCGCCTTAGTGGTACAGTTTGTCTGCATTGGGGCATGCACACTGCAGATTTGTCTTATACAACAAAGTTAACATCCTTTTATTAATAGAACAGTCCTTTCAGAATCTAAACAACACTTTTTGTGCCTTCTGTTTTTTTATTTAGTTTGTTTGCTTTTTAAGATTCAACTGTTTATCATTCAAAAGCTAGTCTTGGATTGAATGTGATTTAATTAAACTAGGATGGGCATGGAATTCAGACCAATTGAATTTGTAGACTGATGAAACATGTTGGAACCATTTTCTGAAGTACAATTCGTGTTAATTTGTTAAGATTTCTTTAGAATGTTCCTTTTCATGAAATAACTCGAATTGCATTGTGGAATGGTTAATTTGAACTCGTGTACAGTTTTCAGTATCCATGGAATGTCCAATATTGGCCAATTAAAAAAAATGACTAAAATACGAAATAATTCAGAACATCGTTCTCTTTTTCTGTGTTGAGCCCCAAACCCAATTATTAATTTAAAAGTGATAATGACTTGAAAAGATACAAACCTCCTGAGAAATAATCATGTCACAGATTAAATTTTATTGTGGCTGGCAACTGAATTGGTCCTTAATGCCCCTGAAACATCTGAAAACAGAATCTTCTTGATCCGTTCTTTTTTATTGTCTGATGACCGGAATCAGAAAAGCGGCTCCTATTAGAAAAGTTTATTGACTTTGCTGAACCATACAACCTCGTAGTGCATCATATACTACTCAAGAAAAGTTTAAGGACCACGTTTTCTTAACTTGTAATCTTTTTCCAAGCATTGAGTGGGGTCAAGTTCTTTAATTTTTTGTTTGTCTAGATGGTGTTCTCACTGGAATAAAAAAGTTTTAAAAATGTTTCAAAACATAAAATGCACATTTCAGCAGAAAAACATCTTATACAACAAAATAAAATATAAACTGGTCCTTCACTTTCTTTGAGTAGTGCACAGGCACGGCAGATCTATATATGACCGCCGCTAAATTTGCTCCAGATAGGACTGAACGCCAACTGAACAACTCAACGGGCTATTATAAACAAGTTTTTCCAGCACAGCTATGTCGGCCTGTATCTGTCAAACATATAATAGAAAAGCTGCAAAGTTCACGGATTTTGAGAATGTGCAATTCAGTGAACACACCAGTGAAAGTAAGTTTTCTGATTTGGGCCACATAGCAAGAAGCAATTGTTCAAAACTTCTCATCTCCATTTAGTTATGGCCAGAAAACAATAGGCCATATGGACTCTTGTGCAAACGCTACGTATACTTTCAGATTTACAACTTGTTTGCATTGCAGTGCGCGTAGCATGCACTGGATTCACCACATACACGGGCCGCACGGGGAGGTGCAAACGGCTGTCGTGAAAGTTGAAAGCACATTGACTGTCATTTCTTGAGCCTACATCCTTAAAATACGACCTTCACTTTGCTTGCATTAAGGATACGTGAAACGGCCTTGCCACGTTTTAACGGCATTTACCGCCCTTTCTGTGCAGTATTGTAAAGTTCTTCAACTTCGTACGGTGAGTGCAAACTTTGGAACGCACTGGTGCTGGTACAGTATGTGTTATGTAGTTAAAGTACTAAGCGCATCAGCGCCACGCTAGTCTGAATGGCGACTTCATCACTGCGCGGTGCTATCGTAATACGATGCCGCGAATGGCGGATGTGGACATTTATATGTCTTGTATGTGTTGTGTGTACACTGCACTTTTCCTTGGTCTGTGGTACATGCATGCATTAAGGAGACAAAGTTTTACCGTACCATTTAGGACCAGTAAAGCGTCAGTGCTGGAGAATGATTTACCAGTAAAACGAAGGGTAGTGAGCCGTGATTGGTATGCTACCTGGCTACAAGTACAACAAACTTGGCTATTGATTGTGCATGTGTACATGTAGCGAGCTCTAGTCGTCTGGAGTGCACCTGTTGGAATGGCAGTGGTACACAACTGTGCATTCATTTACCAAAGCGAGTGGGTGTTGGTCCAACCTGTATTCAAGATAACTGGGAAGGGGGGGGGATTAATTGTTAAATGACTGTGGACATGATAAAGCTGAAGCATTGCAAAAAGCCAGCTATAATAGCATGGGTCTACATGTACTGGTACATGTACATGCACAGTGTACGTTAATTTGCTAAAACTTGCACAAACATACACTGTAGTCTGTACATTACAATATACTTTAAGAGGAAAGAGTTCCATATACGGGCAACACTTAAGGCCCTGTGCACAGACCCATGAGACAAGTCTGAAAAAAAAAACCTACGTGCTTTGTAAGTACATGTATGCTTTGGAATTTTCTTAACTAACTTTCACTTTTTAGGACATGATACTGGTATCACTTTCTGATGAAAATTAGTGTTGTCTGTACATAGAACTCTTTCCCTTTAAAACAATATTACTCTTTTAAGCTGGTATCATAACACTGGTATAAGCATGGAGGTAGGGAAACAAGATAAGGCAAGGTTGATCAAGGACCAGTTACATATGCAGTACATGTAGCTGGTGGTTGGTTCGTGATGTACATGTACAGTGTACCTGGCGCATGTGCAGTAAAGTTGAAGTGTGAATGACCCCAGTGAACCACTGTCAAGTGGTCAGCAGGTAGGCTGAAGGGGAGAAAAGGTGGGGCAAAATAGCCAAAATAAAAGTGAAAATGGTTGATTACTACATGCAGTGACAGAATGATTTTCAAGCATTTTCTTATAACTGGTCCTCTCTGCACTGTGCTAATAAAACCGGTTTATGGCTTAACGATGTTACTGGTTTGAGGTTAACCTCAGTATGCTGGTTGTGAATAGTCAACTAGACTAGTTCAACCATTGTCGACTAACATGTGTTTGATCAGAGTCAGTCAAACTCTGGTTAACTGTGGTCCTTGATGGAACTTGCCCATGGATACATGTATGTGCCCTTTGTATTGTTTCACAATTCAGATATTTTGATGTATATAAGTAAGGGGAGATGGGGGAAAAATGGTATCCTTATAAAAACTTTAAAAGCCATTAGTATTAAATTAAACACTCAAAATGAAGCGTGCATTGCCATAACTGTATTTGCCTTATGGATCAGTACCACAGATATTTAGGAACACTTGCCATGGTAATAAGCAAATTTATTTACATCGGTGGTTTGTTTTACGCTAAGTGTGGTAAGAATTACATGTAAGGACCCTCTTGATGATAGAAGTGTTGTAATGTACATACGTGTACCATTAATATTTTATTGAAAGAAAAACTTTTAAACTGTTGGCATACATGTACCTCAAATTTGTTTTGCCAGAATATTGTTATGTAATATCTTAACTTGAATAATTAATGATTATAAAGCTACAAGAAGTATTGCAACCAAACTTTTCTGAAACAAAAGTTTTTCTTCAAAACTTGTACAAAATCCAACTTTTACATTTTTGTGGAAAGGAATTTTGCCTGTTAATTGTTTTTGTATTATTTTATTGGCTTCTCCACAGAGGTCAATTACTGTAAGGATACACGCTCTCATAATTTTTCAACATGCTGAAATAAAAACCCCAATCAAGATGGAATGGGGGCCAAAATGCCAGCTGGAGGGCACATCACAAGAATAATAGATACTTTTGATGCTTATGTCTTTGCTGATGAGGTCCCCTCTGGCTCTTCCCAGTGCCGCACCTGTCTCACATAACAAAAAATGGTATTCAGGACAAACTGTGTGTGTCTCCTTCAGTGCTCTATAAAAACATGTTGATAACAGATAAGCTACCTGTACATCATGTAATCTACACAACATCATTTTCTCCGGATAGTTTCAAAATTATTTTACTAGTAAATCCTATTTAAGATAAAGCAGTTACATGTAAAAAACTGTAGCTGCAATATTATTGAAGCTCCCAATGAGGCTAGGCACTGATATTGTCTGTTTGATATACATTGTAAGTAACATGATAATGTCAACGTTGATAGTAGTGTGTCATTTCTGAGATTATATAATGGGTTACAGTTTCACCCAAGGCTGCATTACCCTATTTTCCTCTACTTCTTCACATCATTTTGTTTCCTGAGGTAATAAAGCCTGCATGTTGCATTTTGCTGTGAATAGCTGAAGAAGTATTTCAAAATGTACAGCTTGTGACTGCTAGAATGCTCTACACGTAAGCTTGCTGTCTGAAAAATTGTCTTTCTTAGAAAGCTTCACAGTTTCAGCATGTTAAAATATGTTTGATTGGATGTTGTGTGCAATTATTGAACCATCATTTTCAAAACTATAAATTATTTAAATATAATAAAATTGCTAAAACATTGAAAATTTCCTGTTTTTGTTCAATTTCCAGCATTATTGGTTGACTATTCAGACTGCTCAAAATGGCATCTACAGTTGTGGGTGTGACAAGAAATGCTCTTTCAATTCCAAAAGCAAGGAAATCTTTTAAGCGATCTACTCCAAAGAAACTGATTGGAATTGAAGGAGAAACTGGGGGAACAGAGGCTGAATCAGGTGGAATAAGTAACGAAGAAGAGGTGATGCCAGTTGACTGCAAAGAGGAGAATAATAATAAGATTGGAGATGGAAGACTTCAGGAGGTGGGAACAAATAAAGATGGTTGTCAGCCTGTTGATGAAGGTGGCATAGATATCACAGATGTCTTAGATAGCATTGAGGAGAACGACTATGAGGGCTTCTCAGATGACGAAGTGAGGAAGTTCTACCAGAAGATGCCTCTGCAGGTTCAACCCCACCGCATTCGCAAGAACCCCAAGACCATGCAGTTTGAGTGCCCATACTGTTCTTTCTCGTCTCTGTACTACAGTGCTGTGTCCAACCACACACTGATCCATACAGGGGAGAAACCTTACCTTTGCCACCTGTGTAACTATCGGGCCCGCCAGCGGGGACACATCCTAATCCACATGCGCATCCACAGTGGCAAGAAGCCCTTCAAGTGCCCACAGTGCAGCTACTCCACCATCCAGCGCAACCACCTGCGCGTGCACTTGCAGGTGCATAGCCAGGACCGGCCCTTCCAGTGCCCTGGCTGCCCCTATCGTTCCAAGCACCTCTCGGTGCTTCAGATGCACCTGCGCAAGTACGGGCACAACCGCAGCTTCCAGTGCAGCCAATGTGACTATGCGACGGCCCGTAAGCACAACCTGGCCCAGCACATGTCCGTGCACACGGGCTCCAAGCCCTACAAGTGTGGCCTGTGCCCCTACGAGTCTAGCCAGAAGGGCCACCTCAATGTGCACATACGCAGCCACACCGGGGAGAAGCCATTTAAATGCCATGAGTGTCCGTTTGCCTGTACAGTGCCAAAGTCCCTTAGAGAGCACATGGGAATGCACCAGGGCCAGCGGCCCCACCAGTGTCCCCACTGTTCCTTTTCCACCATGCAGCCTTTTGCTCTAAAGAAACATGTTTCTCTTCACATCATCAAGGGTGAGACTTTCCAATGTGGACAGTGTTCCTATAGTTCCAGTGTGCAAGAAGACTTTCTAGTGCATTGTGCCATCCACACAACATCAGTGACTTACTCCTGCCCTTCCTGCGATTTCACCACACCCTTCAAGGTTCAGTACGCTATGCATCTGATGAGCCATACTGAGACAAGTGACATCCTCACTTATGATATCCTCGGTGATAATAAGCAAGACCAGGACTGGCTTACAAAAGACCAGACAGAAACTGGAAAATCTCCCCCGGGTAAGGCAGCTGTTGCTGAAGGGCAACTATCCTACTCGAGTGCTGATTTGAAAAACGGAGCAAAGAAGAAAAAAAGCTTGATTGGGAAAAGCGACCACAGACTGAAACTTAACATTGGGTTTTTAACCAGCAGAGCCAGGACCACATCCACCAAGAGAGAAATCCAGCAAGACACCGGGAGTGAGTCCCAGTCGAGCTCGGCATTATCTGCCACACCAGTGGCTCAAGAGGTTGATCCCCTGCCTCAGGTTCAGTGTTTCCTTGATGACCAGTCTCGCATGAAGAAGTCTAACAAGGCATTTGTCTGTCTGTACTGCGACACAAAGTTGCCGTCCCAGGACCAGTGGGTAGCCCATGAAATGCGACATTTCAATTCATGGCCGGAAATAGTGTAGACAGTATTGCTTTTGTTGTGCCCATGAGATATTCTATTCACCTGAGCTGTACAAATACATACGTGTATACATGTACATGTAGTTAAGCTTTTTCTGGGCCCTCAAGTAAACTTAAAGTTAAAGCAGTTTTACCCATTAGCGCATGTACTGTACATGTATGACCTGAAATCAAGAAAACTGTACAGTGCATGTAGGAAGGTACATGTACCTGTCCCTACCTGTATGCACAGAGATTAATGGATTAAAGCTGTCCGGCTGTGTTGACCCAGTATGTTGAATGAATAGAAATGTACATGTACACTACATGTTTGGACACACATGGCCTGATTAGGTGCAGTTACATATACATTGTATGCAAGAAAAGTACCAAATTTGCAGAAGGACTTAGATTTGAACTTTGTTCAGTGTCTCTTTGCAAATGTACGTGTGAATAAGAATTTTCAGATTTCTTTTCTAAAAATCAGAAGCCTGGGCTCTCCGACCACTCTGTTCCGTCTTTTTGCTTAAAGACTTGATTTCAGTACACTTTGCAGACTTAATAAAAGATACTAGTCATGCATCTACATTTCTGCCTTTCAGACAGGAAAGTACAGGTCGAGTCCATGTACCGTAATTGTACATGTACATGTAGCTACTGGCAGCAGAAGGAGGTAGGCAATGGGCCACCCCACTTTTTTGACAGGGGGTATGAAACCCCCCCCCCCTCCCACTTTTCACAGATCCTAAACTGCGGTTGGGCTTAATGGATCGGCCTATGAATAGGTGATGCCTGATGGTCTCAAAACTATCCCCCCCAATTTGAAACTGGTTCTGCTGCCACAACACATAGCACATGCACCGTGTCAAAGAGTTGGCATTTTCCTGGTGTGATGTTTGAGTAGTAGGGGAGAAATTGAACGGAAACGGGCATCAAAAATTGGACCTGCATAGGAGAGCTAGGAAACCATTGTCACCTTGGGACTTGTTTTGAGCTGTTGGGTGTGAATGTGTGTGATGAGATGGGCACATGTGTGTGAAGTAAAACTTAATATTTTAGTATTGTTATTCTTGAGAGCGCAAGTAAAATATTTATGGAAACTTGTACAATGCGAAAATCTGTGACAAATTCCAGGGATGCCCTCCACATGTATACATTTGTTATTTATTACACGTTTTTGTGAAGTTGTTGACGTAAGTTTAAAAAGTTCTGTGCCTTTGCTATTGTGCCTTTGAAATGTGCCTTAGAATGATTAGTGCCTCACAATATTTTCACTGCTTTTGTAGGGCTGCTTTCAGACCAGATAACTTCTCTTATTTATTTATGGAACATAACAGACAGGGTTTCAATGTGAAGACACGGTATTTATTTTGAGTGGGGTATCCCTGAAATTTATTTTACAAATAACTTTATGGCATTTCAGTATTAACAGTGCACTTTACTTATTTTGAATGGATTTTCAGTATTTAAAATTCAAGAAATTGGATGTTGAACTTATTAAATGTTAATTTACGTGTAGTTGTGCAGTAATTCCAAAAGAAAATTTGGCTGTGGGCTGCAACATGATCTCAGATGTTCACTGTACAGTATTTCCAAACACATGTATTGCAAACAAACTTCATGTTCTGTTGCTAAACTGTTAACACTACATGTACACTGTGCTACTGTAGTGTTATTTGACACATTTGCAGGTGCCTCAATAACTGCCCTAAGAAGATCCCAATGCTGCATTAATTTTTAATTCACTTAAGATAACAGAAGGCTCCCCTTCAAAAAAAAGTTTCACTTTTGTGTGCACATGCATATACCGGGTACATGTATCACTGTGACAGTCCTTTATCTTTATGAATGTATCAATATTCCCCCCCCCCAAAAAAAAACTACATGTACGTTGTACACAACACAAATTTTGGTTTAGTTTGCTTTTACACATGGGAAATTGGTGCCATGTAACCAGAACACACAGGTTTGTAAACACTTAAAATAATGCATACAAAATGAGTGACGTTTTGAAATTTGATATCTGAGACAAAACACAAGCTCTCTAGAAATCAAACCCGATGTTGAAATATGTACTGACTGTGTGCTGAGTTGAACTTGCCAACAACAGAATTCGATTGTATATGCAGTTTTCATTCAGGTACATGTATCTGACCATACCCACAGCAATAAAACTGAAACAGGCTATTTGTAAAACTACGCGTTTGCTTGAGTGTCATATTTCCTGTTTTCATGAGGCTGACATTGTATACTACCATGCATAGATACTATATATTGTTTTCCTTGTACAAGAGGGATGTGAGAGTAGCAATGTATGCAGACTGATTTATTTTTTTTTGCTATACAGGAGGTGCAAAAGAATTGGATACATTTAATCATGAAAGGCTGACATTTACAATTCACTCATAGCCAAGTCTGTGAACAAGAACTCACTACTGTTCCTACATTCCACATTTTACATACAAAATAAGGTGGTTAAAAAGTGTTTGAGAAAAAAGTATTTACAGGTTTACTTGGGCGGGACTCAAATTCAAGACTCATTCTCATACCAGACTTGAGTATTTTGTACAATCAAGAAATGTATTCTCTACCAACTTTAGAAGGGACAGAAAAACCATAGAAAAGAAACATGCTTGGTCGTCTGTTTTTGACATTGTTTTAATGCAAAAATACATTCAAGTGAAACAGCCTGAATTGAGCTAAAGAGCATCTGCTTTGATAGTTTAGTTGTCCTGAATCATCTGTACTTTACCCTACGTAAATCCTACAAAACCTTCAGATAGATTTGAAGCATTAGGAAGATGTAAGGTTCAGTATGTAAATTAATCATGAGAAATTCAGGGTTTCTTTTTCCAAGGAAATGAACTTGGCTGGGCAATATTTTTATGCTTACCAATATGTGGGCTCCACGGTACAGTCCATTAAACATCACTTTGTTTAGATTCCAACAGCTGTCACATTAGGAGTCCTTTGAATTTACAACAGGATTCTAACCACTCACTGACTGATTGGAAATCAGGAGAATCAATGCAGCTGCAACTAGATTCAAACTAACAGCTGTGGCACTAGAAGTCATGTAAATATTCGTGAATAAACAAAAATCAAGTTTAAATCACCTGATGACTGATTAGAATTCAGGACTTCCAACACAGCTGGACATGAAGCTCAATTGACAGACGAGCTTACAGACTGGACTGGACTCAACCAATCCTGTCCTTCAGTGTCATGTACATGTGTGTATCAATTTGCACATCAGGATTCAAATTTTTTGAACAACTTGCTGACTGCTTGGAAGTTAGGAGAATCAACAGTACAGCTTAGCTGAATAAGCACTGTACTCAAACAGCTGACCTATTTAGAGCACTGTGCATTTGAATCTACCACACCCCTGGTGTCTAAATATTAATGGGAGTCTACTCATACAACTGTATGAGTAGTCTCCTGGAAGATATAAATGACTTCAGACAGTGGCCTCTGGAATTTCAAATTGCTGTTGAGTTCCAAACTTTGACAGTCCAGCCCACTGTTCTGTTGTTTGCAGTCTGAGGACATCACCATCTGAGGACCTTGATGCCTACTCTGAGGACTATGTTGCATGTTGCTGCCCTTGTGCTGCCTGCTCCTGTAGAAGCTTTTTCTTTTTCTGAGTGACACCGGTGGCTCTGAACTCTGCCCTCTCAGCCAAGTACTCCTGCTTGCACATCTCGAAAAACTCTGGATCCTTGTAGCTGGTGCAGGAGAGATGACATTGAAAAAATGTCCTTAACATACCCTTCCTTGAGATACATGTATAATTAAACACTACTGTTAAGACCTGTTCTGAGCGTTCCTGAGAAAAATATTTCAGGGTACTTTGGGTGGAACTGAGACTATTAACTACATGATGTGATTCGGCCATCTTGACTTGAGTACATGTATACAATAGCTTGTTAAAACACTTCCAAATAATGGGGGAAAACTTTGAAAGATACATGTACATACATGTAAATGTATCTTTCTCAAACATACAGGCCTGAATCTTAGAATATTTTGCCAATTAAGCTTGCTGAACGTTAAGTTTTTAACATGCAGTTAGGAATATTTTGACACTGATTTGATGACAAAGCCACTCAGAAATCTGTCATTTCCCGAATTGTTCTAAGCTTACTATTTTGTGATGCATTCTCTCAATTCGTTATTCTCCTTCCTGCATTTGACTGCCATCGCTAGCCCACTTTCCTGACAACACTTGGTAAATGCTGCCCAAATAAACCACATTAGTCAAAACAGTTTTAGCATAGGAGGAAGATTGATTAAGAAAATGAATACTTGAACATGTTGAACACGGTTAAAGGCAGGGGAGAATAAAATTTCTTTGTTAAACGTACCGTCAACATGCTGGGCACATCTGTCCTTGGCTTTGTCTCGCATCTTCTTGGGGATCAAGACTTCCCTCTCCACATTTCGTAGATACGTGTCGTCATTTTGCCAAGCTGAGGGAAAGATTGTGAATAAAAAGGTCAGCTGTTTTCACACGTCACAGACTCAAGACATGTAAAACAAGAGCAAAGCCAAAGGCAATCTTGATTTTGCACAGAAACAGGACCATCTGACCATTATGACCATTTTTCCCAATCTGGGAAATGTAAAGCGTGAAAGGAGGGGATGGCTCCTATTGATGTGTGCATGTAATATTGGAGATGATTAGTAAACAGGCTTGACACAACTATGACCACTTAGTAAATAGTCATAGACCTACATGTAGTCATATATACATGTACATGTACTCAGTACCTATATTATCTTGGTATAAACTCTATTATCGCGGTATCAGAAATTTCAAATTTTGCATTGCCAGTGAGTTCCCAATTGGCAATATTCACCCAGGTAATCAATAAATTATGGTGTGAGGAGAAGTTTTATTAAAACAGAGTGAAAAATTCTGCATGTTTCCATAAGTTTTGATAATTTTTAATAAAAGATGTGATTTTCCGAAATTCGAAAATTTCCTTCACCTTGTCAGTCATTACCTACTGTCTATCTCTTTAATAGTTATTTCTAACGCTGCTCTACCCTTGGATATCCATTGCTTGGTTCCCATGTGTCACTTCCAAAATGGTCAAAGTTGTCTAAAGACACATTTTAACTGCAAAAGTGCCCATTCTTTTCCGAGTCAAAATAAGGGCTTCTGCGCTGAAAAACTTTATGTGTGTGTAAAGCGCGCCCCAAATCTCTATTACAATAGACTTGTATCAATTGTACTTTTACCCTCCGGGACAATTAATAGCAAATGATTACATCGGCATTTACCGGTATGTCTCAATTTTTGTGGCTTTTCTCATACAAATTCAAGAATTTTTGGATGGATGTTTGGAATTCCTAACATTAATTTTGAAAGAAATAGGTCAGGTCTAATGAGATGGTTATAACTTTCAGGGAATCAGAACTCAGAAAACAGACATCTTTAACGATTGTTTCAGACATCTATAAAAGAATGGTTCCACCAAGAAAATGAAATTTGAAATACCCGTACATTTATTATTCCATCCGCAGACACCAATTTAAGTAATATGATGAATGTCAAAGTTGTTGCTACATTTAAGATTGGAATAAAAAGTTCTGGTGAAACAAATGAAGTCATTCCTTGTGGGATTAATAAATGTCAGGTGACACAATGCAGTTGTTCCCATCTCGTTCTCTCAGCGTTTGGCATCTTTAACCCTAACCCTCCTCAATCCTTCACCTGTTGGAGGACTGAGGAGTGTTAGGGTTAAGGAGGAGGCTGGAAAAAAGGAGTCAATTACACGTAAAATGGAACAGTACCAGAACATGAGATTATATTGTTTTCTCTGAAACTAAATCATGCTGTTTATCTTTATTTATTCATAAACAAAGTGCTTTAAAGGCCACCGTAGAAACCATTTCTCGATACTGTGATAATGCTCATGTATCCACCTCTGCTGGCATATGGTGCACACACTGATTTTCTGAGCTACTGTAAACACATCTTTATGAATCAGGTTAAAAAGTAAAGGTTAAACAACAAGGAGGACAGGATAATTCAGGAAGTGAGCGAGCAATCTTTATGTTGATCAGGAAATGTGATGACTACCGCTGGTGGTAGAGGCACACATCACAACTCGGAGACTGTCTTTGTATTTGGAGAAGTCCCTTTATTAAAGGACAAAACCAGACCCCAGAAAGAGATAAAGTCCCTCTAAATAGGGACAAATGTTTTTCAAATGGACAACGGATATTGCCCTGGGGATCCTGTTAATGCCTTAATTGGATTCAGCAGAAGAAACCACCCAAGACTGCCGTTTAAAAAAAATTCTACCATTTACATGTACTTCTAGGATTACAAGCAGGAGTCTACAATGGCATATAAACAGGTCAGGGACCAAACCACAAACTTCAGGCGACGTCAGACTATGCATACGCCACTGGTTTGTGCAACTATGATGTACTATATTTAGATCACGTTTCGCAGATGACATCGATCTCTTTATTGGCCAAAAACTTCAAAACAAATTCCTCTGATTGATCAAATTTACAGGAAACATGCTAACCAAGAACTAAATGAAACTTTCCTTTCATTTGGTATCTATAAAAGCGGATCAAGGAGATTTTTCGTTCGAATCTTTCACTGGATGTGTCAAATTCAGTGGGCAGCCGAGTCCAACTTTGCCAATGAAAATGTTTATGTGAAAAAAATGAAGCATTGCCAAAGTTTACTTTATGCATGAAAATGTTGCCATTATAAATATCCATTGATTGACTGTGGCAAATCAAATGTTTACCGTTGCAATTTTCCAAACTAGTGATCGGAAACAAGTTTGCCATAGACTCCAACGGTAATGGCAGCCATGTTGGCTGGCAGCATTTCAAATCTTGTTATTTTCCCAAAATCACGCGGGAAAATTACATCATTATCACGTAACCTGATAAAAATGACGTCATTGCCATTTGAACTTGCGACATAAGCAGAAACTAGGGACGTCGCTAGATTGCGGTTTGGTCCCTGACCTGGTAAAAGACTGCATCAAAACAATTTCATTGAATTTGATTCTTTATTTAATTAATCAAGGGACATGCACAAAGTTCACAAAAACAACTAAATACACTACGTATGAATGGAAAATATGGGAGAAAAAAATTGAAAATAGTATGGGGGTGTTTTTGACCTAAGCCCACTTGGGAAAAAAGTCCCCTTTTAAGGAGACATTCTCACTTTCAGGGGACTTAAAGTTTTGTCCAAAAGGGACTTCTCCAAATAAAGGGACAGCCCCTGAGTTTTTTGTGATGTGCGCCTCTGCTGACTGGGAGACTGTAATATTGCAGAAACTGCTTTCAAGCAGCAGCGTCAATGAATCAGTATAAATTCTTCTGACTAATTCTTCTGGCTAATTTACTTTTTTTTCAAAACCGTAACCCAATAGTTAGCATTCAGTGTCCATGGAAATTTTTTTTTTTACATGTTCAAGTCCTTTCATGTTAGAGCGCCCTCTTGTAACCACTACTGATATCCGATGTAGGACTGGACATCGAGTCCCCAATGCTTATGATTATGGCGAATTTTCGTAATATATGTCCAAAAGTCTCTCAAAATAACCCACATTTAGCAGCTATTCCAATAAGTGTCAAGGCTATAGTTTGGGTCTATTGAGCAGGACATTTGTAAAATGTCCAGTAACTGAAAATATAAATAACTTTCTTACCAAACCCTCTCTTCGATACATGATGTTCCTCCGCCATTTTGAGCTAATAAGTGGTTTACATAATCATGTAGTAATAAGAATACCTTTTTTAGTGAATTGAATAACATAAAATGGTGAGGTTGTGATAAGCTGTCTCTGAAGAGCATCCAATGCAACTTTCCAAGGATTTCCTTGGGGGGAATATATTTAAAAATCACTCTCGGTTGTGTTTTTCCTTTTGTAATGTTTACAGTGACGTCATGTGTTAAAAGGAGATGACTTGTCATGCGCACAAGGATCGCAGCAGCACAGTACACCTGTAAAGCACGGAAGCTTGCACTCAGTGTGTTGGTTGAGAATTCACTATTGTTAAAATAAAATGCCGCTTTTTGGAGGTTCCTCACCCTTTGATCAAGATGTTGGTAAGTTGTTTCTTGAAAGTATACCCTCATAAATTTATACCCAACTTGTAAAAACATTTTAGGAAACGCAAACCGGGTTTTGAGGGCAATGTTAGCAGAGAAGTTTGAGCTTATTTCACTGTCTTGTGTCGTACTACTACTAAGCACTCATCACCGTGATGGTGTACAGTTGGCATTGTTGTGGAACAGAGGACGTTAGGACGAAAGAAAACAGATTTACTTTGCCCTTCACTGCATATCCCTTCGTTTAAAGTGTGCAGGCGTCTGAGTAAATTGTCAGTTGCCCGACCATTGACGAGGACGCATGTCGCGCTGATATGGTCGGTTAGAGCTGTGAAAACACTTTGAATTGGTGGCAGTTGTCTTTAAACCAAAAAGAGACAGATCATGTTTTGGGTTGGCATTACATATAGGCCAGGGCTTGCTTTGGCAGGCCACATACCATGAGCAACATCTTTTGAAGTTCAAAGGTCTCAAAAAGCACTATTGCATGGGACTTGTTTAGTTTTTCTCTTTATTAAGTTAAAATTAACAATTGGGAGGAAAATCACAGATTGTCATGTCACATTGTTATGACTAGGCTGGTTTGTTGGCTTAGTGGTGACTCATACTTTGCACTTGTACTCTAGGCTACACACAGTCATATGAAAATGTGTAGCTACTTCAAGGTCAAAAGTACAAGAAAATACATGTACTCAGCACATATTACACTGCAGTGATTTTACACCATTTTTATAAGTACATGTACATGTATTTACATGTACATGTGCACCTTATTTCAGAATTTTGGGGATCAAAAATGTTACAAACTTTATGGTTGCATGCTATACATGTAGTATAATGTATGCACAGTTTATTAAGTCCTTTGAAATGAGAAAAGAAAGCAAGTCCAACTGGCGTGTACATGTACATGTAGGTACATGTAATAGCCATTGATTCAAAATGGCAAACAACATTTTCAGTTGATGCCAAGAAAACCACCTTTGCTGACATGGGTGACAAGGAGATTCTGGGGGGGGGGAAAGGGGATAGGGACGTGTTTTTTCTCAGGGGAGGGGAAATTTGGGGAATTTCCAAGGGGGATATTGCACTCATCAGCTAAGAACTGATAAATAATAACATGTAGCAGTGGGAGGGAGTCAATTTGAGGTTTTTTCAAACAAAAATTGAATGTTGATTTTCAGTCCCCTTTCATCTTTTCCCCCCATTTCTTTTGCTTTGGCCCCTGGTTTACTTTCAAATTTTTCCCTGGGTTGCCCCCTGTCCCTTGTGACACCCGTGCTGGCTGACATCTTGCAATGAACCAACTTGTGGTCCTGATGAAAATCACTCTCTTTACTTTGCTTTCCTCATCTCGGTGAACAGAAAAAGTCACAAATGAGGCCAACACCAGCGAGGACTGGGGCCTTATCATGGACATATGTGATCGAGTCACCGGTCAGCCGCAAGCGTAAGTCTTTCTGTTTTCAGTATTCTACTTTTCAGAACACTTTTCTAGGGCCACATGTGAAACCCAAATGCAGGATATGTACATGTACAATGCAGTTCTATATGATTATGAATGTACACGTACCTGTACACTGCTAATAAAGGACTCACCACTTGGACGAGGTCTGTGGGTCACTTACATGTGCCTTAAGAGAAATCTGCAGTATTTCAAATGAGAGACCTAAACTTTCTGTACCACATTTTTCTATTTACATGTATATTGTTGTTCCCTTTCCAATTTTGGTTGGATTTATCAATCGGTTGAATGGCGGATGTTTTGTCTTCTAATTTTCGTGCAAGTTCTAATCAGCATGAAGAAGCAAATTGCCCATCTTAGAATGTTTCTCAGAAATACCTTTGCATATCATCCAATTAACTTTCAATTACCTTTTATTGTGTGACAATATTTGAGATTTTTATCTTGCAAAGTATTTTTTGGCATTTATTTTTGTGCCTTTTGAAACAAGTGGGGCCTGTATTTCGCAACCTAGTTTAAGTTATTTGAATAGAAAAATAAGCATGAAGTTGCCTAAAGCTGCACAGTGACTGATTAAAATGAGCAACGGAAGAAGACTTGGCAGCCTAGGGCTGTGCAGGGTAACTTAATCTGTCATTATTCCTCTTGCTGCAGAGCTAAAGATGTCTTAAAGTCGATTATAAAAAGAGTCAGACACCCAGTCACCCAAGTATGCACACAAGCACTCACAGTGAGTATACATGTATTTCCCCTTCCCATACCCCCCTCCACCCCACCCACTAGGCCAAGCTAAAATACATCAGCTCAATTCTGGTGGATCGACCCCAACCCTTTGAGATCCTTCAAAATATGCCAGGAGGGATTGGACGATTCTGCATGATGGAGGAAAGTAGAGAAAAGTCGCTATTAGTTTATTTGGGCCTTGAAGCTCCTTGAAATTTGAAGTGCAAAGAATGTGCCCTTTTCCAGCACAATTATTAAAGGATTGTGGAAGATTAATAAAGATCTTCAGGGCTCGCAGAATCGGTAGTTCGACGTCCCGGGACAACCAAAATATTTTCTCGGGCAACCAAATGTTCGAGGCTGCAAGCCCGATGGGCAAGCACCTGTTTTCGGCAACACATTTTTTTGCCTGGCGTTTTGGACATTTCAGCACGGTGCACCGAAAAAAGATTGCAAAAAAAAGACCGCAAAAACAGATCGACATCTTAACCTTGATGTTGCACGACTGTACATGTTTAATTACAACATTCTCGCAGTAGCAATGAAGTGATGATTTATAACAGGTAATAAAAATCCTTTTTTCCCCTTATAGCTACTAGGGGCTTGTGTCAGTAACTGCGGCAAGACGTTCCACTTGGAGTTGTGCACCCGGGATTTTATGACAGAGGCTAGGAATGTTGTCAGCAAGGTATGATGTCAGCTGATCAAGTGGACAAAGGATACATCATGAATCCTTGGTCTGGAGTTAGGTCTAGGTCTTGGCTGGATGCTTATGCACAGGACATGTGTCAGTGATACATATACATGTAGGTGTAGCCATAGCCATGAAGGCCAACTTTAGAACCAGCCAAAGATTACAACTGCAGCCTGCATGGCATTGTGGGTTAACAGCAGAGGGTACTTGCAGCTTACCCATGACAGCCACATGAAGTCGATGGTTGCGGGTGCCTTGACTCATGCTTGAATCCAAACCTGTGTGGAAACAGTGCTCATTGTATTTCATAGGAATGTGTACAAATTATAAACGCATTTTGTTAGAGGAAAATGTTTAGATATGGGCCAGAATCAAAGTTTGATTCAAGTAAGGATTTGAGCTTGTTATCCCACATTGGAGTTAATTTCTGTTGAATAATTGTATTTTCTTAGATTTCCAAGGGCTTTTGATTGCAACATTGTTAAGGCATGGCCCTGGAGGTTGTAAAAGAAGGATTGCTTTAATTGGTAGGCTTTCTTCCCGTGCTCTTTTAGGGTAGTCACAAAGTATCTGAGAAGATGAGAGGGCTAATCAAAGAATGGGCAGAGGAGTTCAAGAATGACCCACAACTCAAGTAAGAAAACAACTCTTTATTTTCAAGTTGGGGTATTTGCTACATGTACGTCATACATGTATTTCTCCAACAGTTGTTTCCTCTATTTGGACCAAGCAATTGGTTACTTGCTAGAGCCAACAAAAACAAAATCCAGCCACAATAAATACTTCTTCAGGTCATCAAATCCAGCACAGAACAAAAGTATTTTCTCTTGCTGCTGGATTCGTTTAGATACAATCATCAGGGTGTTGTGAATTCCATTGTGGGGGTAAATTCTCATAAATAATCTTTCTTTTTCCTTGCAGTTTGATGGTTCAGTTGTATGACAGCCTTAAAGCAGAAGGGTACGATTTCCCTTCAGTGGCTCACACAGCTTCACAGGTAAAAAAAAAGAATTCTGAGCGGTACAGCAGACCATTCTTGGAAGCAAAGAAATCAGTTTAGCATCCCGTATCTATCTTGTGTATGCTGACCTCAAGACTTGAGTCATGTGACCTTGATGTTGGCAAATCTCCCTTCATTGGATAAATCTTTTCTCTTTTTTCAGCCCTCAAAGCCACCCCCAGCTAGCAATCCTGTTCCAGCATCGTCACGACAAGAGGAAGACGACATTGCAAAGGGTAATCCCAGATTTTTTTTATTTTTATGCTACGTCTTGGTGCATTTTGAGATATGGATGTTGTTGAAGCATTTGCATGCACATTTCTGTGAATAAGCATGAGCACACTAACACTGTTCACTCATGGAAAGTTCCAGCGATGTTGAAAGCATTTGAGCACATGTTGTTAAGAACAGCCGTGAAGGATCACTAACATGGTATTTTTATGGCTCTGTTTGGGGTACTGCCAGATTTCAGGCAGAATGCAGGGCTTGAAATTAACGGGCACAGGTAGCTAAAATGCACCCGTGTGTCTCAGAAATGCTCCCGTAAATCATAATGATGGGCACAAGTACTTACGCCCGTTTGATTCCATGTACTTGAACATTTTTTACCGTTTGTTTCTACTTTTGTCATGAAAAATACCTGAACTTTTTGACTTCACTTCGGATCAGCCTTGTCATGGAACCATAACATGGTACAATTTTGTTCATGATGTCACCAAGCACACGCCGCAGTCTCGCATGCGATCCATGCACGCACATGAACGTACACACATACCCATGGCCAGTGTCATGACTGTATGGAAACTGGCCCCTTGTGTGTAAATTCAAGCCAAACGAGTGGATTTGGCTTAGACTGCAGTTTGCTGGTTCCAGTAATAGGTTGAACATGTGGTTTTGAACCATGCTCCAAATAGCTGGAACCAGCGAAACAAAAGTCTCAGCCTAATCCACTTGTTTAAAAAACGCTCCATTGCTGCAGTTAGTTCCCTTTTATGTCTTTGTGCATATGCACGTTATAAAGGCCCAGTGCCCGACTTTTTGCATAACGTTGCTATGCACATGTTTGAGATTCCGGTTGGTCGCATACTCACTACTAGTTGTACGTCGGGAGCAACCCACAAAAATAAAAACTCCATCGAGACTTTAATATCTTCCAAAGTCTAAGTCGTAAGTTATCAGTGTCATTAATTTAAACAAAAGCAACAGCAAGGATGGGGGTCTTTGCTTTTTTTCTTGAGCATACACTATGCCTTTAATATTGTATGGGAGCTACTTGCTCCCGTAAAACCGCAAATGCAGCTGTCTAGGGAGCAATTACTTGCTCTCATGATGATTAGCCCAATTTCGAGCCCTGAAATGTGTTATACTTACGAAATCCCCGTGAGGATCTTGCCAAATATAATCCGAGTTAATTTTTTTCTATTCTTAAAAGTTTCTTCTTGGAAATGACACCGAGAAATGTGTCATGGGAAGACAAAAATTACACCCAAAGCTTATTTGGACAGTTGTTTCAATTTGTGTGTCGGTATTTTCTTGTATAAATTTCATTTATGTGAGGTGTATTTCTGCAGGCAGGGCTTCTAGTCTAGAGTACCATGGTCCAGTGATTACACTGGTAAATACCTCCTTGAATTCCAATAGTGTCATGGTGCTGGAGGAAGGCTTATTACTCTTAGAGCCTCCCTCTACCCAGAAGTATAAATGTTACCTTGAGGCTAAAGCGGAGATTGAGCTGATCTCAAACCACTGGATAAGATTGATCTCATAGCCTTGTAAACAGGGGCAGTAAACTTGTCAAGTACTTGTAACGATCTGTGCAAGTGTGACATCATTACTGATGGAGTCTTCTATATCCTTTTTGCAGCAATCCAGCTCTCGCTGCAAGAGGAAAAAGCCAAAACCAGCACCCTCTACCCCTCTGCAAATCTTTACGCCAGCGTGACGCCTACTGCGTCTGCCACCACAACGCGGCGGGAGTCCCGAAAAGTCAAAGCACTCTACGACTTTGAGGCAGCGGAAGACAATGAGCTAACCTTCAAAGCTGGAGAACTAATCAGTGTCTTAGATGACAGGTAATGGTTGGCTTCAAATTCTGTAAAATGTATGTAGCATATTAGATATGTAATATACATGTACAGTCAAACATGATTAATACAAACATTGAGGTTAATTGAGACAAGATCACGCTTACAGCAAGCATATTTCTTTAGTCTCATCAAAAACTTACACATTTCTGTGAAAGAAAACTTACTTAATACGTGTGCAAGCAGTGTTAAGATGAGAACATTGATAAGACATGTTAGATGAGCATTTTCATCAACCTTGAAGTGTGGGAAACCTTTGTCAACAGCATCTTCAAAGCATGTTAATTTGAAAACGCCTTTTCAGTTGTGATAATGCCAGTAAAATCCAAAAGGAAAGCATAGGTCAGTGTCGAGTGTAATCCTCTGGTTCATTCGTATGTTGCGGTTTTGCTACAGAATGTACATGCCACTTTGGCTGGCTGTATGCTTTGTATGCAATGCTTGAGAGGGTTTTAAAGACGGAAAATTAATGTTGTGGTGTCTTGTCGCAAAGGAAGTTTCAGTTGCTGTCAAACTCTACGGGGAGGGGGGCAGTTTTCAAGTATATATTGAACAATGGCAAAACCAGACTTCCAGAATCAGAAATTCCCCAAAATAAGATGAAATTGTCAATAAATCAACTGTTCACTAAAGAACGTCACAATGTAGTCTCCACACCACAAGAAGCAAACAAAAATAAGGTTTGTAAATTTCAACTTCCCTTCTCATGAACAAGTTTCTGTAAAAACCACACCCATCCTACAATTAAGATTCGCAAATATAGACAAAACTGCATGAATATCTAAAGAACATTTTCTTTATCTGTTACAGTCCCAGCCCCGTCATAAGGAAAAAGAAAATAAATTCAAACAGTTAATGCCCTCCTCCGTATGCCTGTACAGTGTATGCGTGATCTAGCTCCAAAGTGAACTTTACATGCACGGTACTTATGTGCAAATATACAACATTACATAAACCACTTTTAGAACATTAACACCACCTGGATTGTGTTCCATTCACTGTCTTCAATTCTTACTTTTGCAGGGAACATGCACTTTGGAAACATTTTAAGGGTGAAGGCTTGTGCATACATGTACTTCATAAAAATCTAGATGCAAAGTGTATCTGAGATCTTGAAACATTCCCAGTAAAACCACCGGAATAACAGCGTTTGCAACTATTGCATATTTGCAGCAATGGCAAAATGTTATCTTTGAATTCACGTTTGGGCATAAACCAGCCTTTGATACTGTACGTCAGATTGCATAGCATAATCAGCACTTTCTTCTCGTTTCTCCCCAACTTGTGTGTGTCCAGTGACGCCAATTGGTGGAAGGGAGAGAACTTTCGAGGCACCGGGTTGTTTCCATCAAACTTTGTCACTGCCGATTTAACTGCTGAGACGGATGCAGGTTTGTGGATGTTGAGGTGGAGTTGGCCCCAAAATAGACTAAGGAAAACATAACCCAGATTTCAGCAGATAAATATCGTAAGAGCAGAGCTAAGGGCTTTCATGTGTTGAGGGATTGCAGGTTTATGTAAGTCATGCCGGGTCCAACTTCAGTCCAATTTACGTGTTGTTCAATGCAGACATTAGGGAAAGGGAGAAGAAAGTGTCATTTGACGAGTCGGTGGAGGTGAGGACAATTGAGGCTATGACCCCCGAGGTGGTGGAGATTGATGAGGGTCAGATGGATCAGTGTCTGGATATGCTGCAGAATGCAGACCCCACTGAGCAGAGACCAGACACACAAGAGATGTTGGTGCTAGAAGGTAAGAATTTTTGCAGTCGAGTACCCCACTGTTTTCTTACTTTAGCTTCACAAGTGCTTGGCAAGTCTTCAACTGGTGTTGGAAGGGAGAAACAGTGCTGTAGTCAAGTAGTTAACATTTCTTCAGTAGTACTTGAAGCTGCTTCACAAGTACTCCACAAGTCTTCACAAGTACTTGGCAAGTCATCTCATGTGTCACAAGTGCCCCATCATCAATTTAAGCCACCACTGGTATAAGATGGCAAGAGCAGTTTTGTAGTCAAGTATTTCGCAGGTACTCCCAATTGACTCCCACAGGTACTAACAAGGACTTCACAAGTTTATCACAGGTACTCCATTATCAGTCTATATTACCCACAAGCTATTTGTATGAACCTTAATAAAGCAATTCCGTTCTTATTGCCCCCCTTTATGATTGTTGAAAGTACTTGAAACTACTTTCAAAGTACTCGTGATTACATTTGAAAGTGCTTGTGTATTTGTCTAAATTGCAGACACCTGTAAGAGAATGAACCCACTCATTGATCAAGAACTGGAAGGAGTGGACCGGGAGCACATGGATTTAACGGCCCTCAATGCCAAGCTGATGGACGCTTTCTCCATGTACCATGGGCTCATGAAGGAAGCACCAGTCTACGGGTACTCACTCAAGACCATGAATATGCCACAGCAGGGCGTGGCCAGGCAATACCAGCCGGGCGTGACCGGGCCGGGCATGCCAGGATATGGCGAGGTGCCGGTGAGTAGAGTGGGTGCGGCGTTTGGATTCTGGGTTATAGAAGTAGGGGTGTGGTCAGCATGAGGAGGGTGTGGTGAGGTTGTAAGAGTGTGTGGCTTGTGTTACATCATGACTAGGAAAAGCATGGTAGGATATGGGGTTGAATGCACACATGGCCAAACCCTGAAATGGAATGACAACTTTTGATCAATTAGAGAAGTGGGGTTTGGCCACTGTACATCAGAAAGATGTGGCCATTTTAGTAAGGCTTTTATTCATTTTTTAAATCAACATAACTACTCTTTTGTGACATTCTTTTTGCAGTACGGTGCACCCCCACAGGGTATGTACGCACCCCCTGGGGTACAAGGTCAGATGGGTCAGCCCATTATGCAGCAAGGGGGTGAGATGGCCATGCCGCAGGGGCAGGTACCTGGAGGGATGATGACGCAAGGAAACCACCCCATGACAATGGCACAACCTGGACAGGCCATGTACTCACAGTAAGTCAATTGTAGTTTGTTCATACCTGCTCCAGCAAAATGAGGAAATAGTCACAGGGTATACTGGGAGGTCTCATTTGTGAGTTATTTAGAAACTGGCCTGAGCAGGGGAAACCCTCCATGAACAAATATGAGCTTGGTCTAACATACTTGGTTACAACCAGGAGTAATGTGTGCCAATGAAAGGTGCAGTGGTTAAGAGACTGGCTTATTCTGAGACTGAGCTTTGTTGGCTTTCAGGAGAGGCTGGATTTCCTTAGATTAATCCTCAATTCTCTCGCTCCCCGTCACAGTGCCCAGCAGCCCTACCAGACCCAGCCTGCACCCATGGCCCAGGGCAACATGGCCCCCTACCAAGCGCCGCCCCAGAACTCCATGCACCCGATGGGTGGCAACACCTCCACCTCCTTCAGCGTCCAGAGCAGCGTGCCAGCAGGTGTACAGGGCCCACCCGTCATGCAGCAGAACTACAGCGGGGTACCAGCTGGCCCGCAGCCTCCCCCACCCATGGGCGTTCACCCGCCTCAGCAGCACCATCAGCAGCAGCAATCCATGTTAATGTGATCTGCAACTGGCTTGGCATACCGGTTAGAAACTGAACCCATTTTCACACAACTAGCAAGCTCAGAAATTTGAGTATGGAAAATATCTGCTCTGAAAATAAAACGGATCCCAAACAAACTGACCTGTTATATACATACATGTAGCTCATGCATGGTTCTCAGTTTTTTTTTGCCTGCCGACTTGCTGAGCACTGTTCCCAGCTTCGTCCAATTCTGAAGATGGGCCCAGAGCTGCCAGTAGCTGTACTCCAAAGAGCTGATAAACACATTAAATTGCTAACCAGAAAGACAACTGGACAGAAATTGTGTGTAATGAGTGTAGATTGTCATGTACATTTTTTCCATTAAAGCTGGCTAAGCAGTAATTCAGGCCATTTTCATCAAAGAACGTTGACCAGTTTTGCAACTCTGAGGAAATTAGTTTTGGGGCTTTGGGCCCATTCTTTTAGGGATCGTCTCAGAAGCCAGATGTTCCTATTCCTACTGAACACTGAGGATTGATTGGAATGTTCTATAGCATTCTAACTTTTGATACACCCCCCTAAAAGTGGTCAGCCAGCTTTATTTGATTTGAACAAACTTTTGCAAGCAAAACCTGCATATTTTGACTTGTTACTGGGCAAAGGATTGTAACATGCACACTGCAGTAAATTGGTTCCCCACAATTTTTGCCTGGCAGAAAAACTTGTATTTGGCCCATAATCAAGACGTGCCATCTCAAAACCTGGGAAGATTTCAGCAATACCCATCTGTATGTAGGTCTTGTGCTTGCTATGGTAACATGAGTTTCAACCTAGTTGCGTTGCTCGGTAGCTATGTTCAAGAGGAATAACTACTGAACGTGGTTTGGATGGTGATTTTAATTAACTTTGCGCTTCAAATTTGTATATGTAAAGAAATTCAAATTGGAACAAATTCTAAGCTGATGGAAAAAAATTCCTTTACATTTAGAACTGTAACTTAGCAACGCAGCTTCATATTTTGTACATAACACAGATGTCATGTATTCTCTGTCAAGTTGTGTGTTACTGTGCTGACCGCTGGCATAATTATATTGATAAAGAGACATTCTAGAAGAACTAATCATAGAAAATAATTTGTTCCCAAAAAGTTGCAGACATTTAAAATTATGGATGCCATGTTTTTGCTTATTCTACACAGTTCATATGCAAGGACAGAAGTCAGTGTCTTTTAATCTGTTCTTGGAAATAGTCTCGTGCTTGTGTCTCCAAATCCCATTGGTTACTTTGCCACTGGTGAAGGGAAGCATTATAACAGAGGTTGCCATGGGGGACAAGACTTCATTAAATATGTACACTAAAGCTTGTTGCCTTAAAACATTGCCAATTCTTCATTTCAGATGATGCGCTTATCCCAAAGAAATCAGGCTGAAATGATGTCATGTTTCCAATTGCCTAAAAGCCTATTCAGGCAACGCATTAATAAACATCAGTCAAAAAGTTTAGTTGGTACCTTATTTGACGACTATAAAACACTTATTAATAGTAGTTATTGGCCAGTTCACGTGAGGTCACTTTTGTTTTTAATTGATAGTAAACTTACATTCTCTTTCAACACACTGCATAATTATGTGGATTGGTCACGGATCAGATAACATGTACGTTGCAAAATTAAGCAATGTGATGGCACCACTATTGGCTAGGTGTTTCAACAAGCTCAAATATTGAATGGCATTGCTTTTCAAATGTCTGGAAAATGAGAGAATGTCTGCAGATAATGACAAGTGAGTTTCTACCTAGATTATTTAATTTAATCACAATATTGTTATGTTATAACATATCAAACTGTACATAGCCGCACCCAAAAAAGCATATGTATAAATATGTGAAATAATTTTACTGTGTTATTGCATTCAAACATAGCATATAAGTTTTTAAATTTTGCATTGTCTCATTCATTAGCCATGTTTCATTGAAAAATTCACAGTTGTAATTTCTTGGTCCATATTGGCTCCTTGCCCTTATTTTGTTAGGAAGATTTGATAGAAAAAACCTGCAATTGAATTTTGCCCTTCCCAAAGGCAAACTGTGGAGAAACTGCTGGACATTTCTGAACAGTAGACCCCTAACAGTTGGTGCTTGGTAATAGCAAGGAGCTATTATAATAATATATATCCAATGTAATAGCTCCATGGTAATAGTGCCTTTTCATGGCAAGGAACCATTGAGAAAATGTGGCAATCCCTATACTTGCATTGTCCCTATATCAGCCAGTTCTGTATCCATTTCAGTGTCAGTAATTTAAAGGCATAGTTCAGTTCTGAAATTTCTCGAGATCCACTATTGAAACAGTCTCGGTGAAGTGAACAAAATATGTCCGAAGGATTTGAAACTGTTCTTAGTGCAATTTGATGTCATCCTGACGAATTAAGAATGTGTTTTACCCCCTTGGTAGTGCATACATGTACAACCATCGTCAAAGTTATTTGTGACAAATTGAAACCCGAAACCCCAAATGCTGTGAACTCGTTTGAGGAAAGGCTGTTTACTTCTGCTTGAATTTTAAGAGTTATGTTCTCAAAACGAACGAAATGATAACCGTTTAAATTTTGCTTAATAGTTTGATTATAGCTCAAACAATGGAATTCTTGTTTTTCGTTAAATACCTATTCATGGCAAAAACAAATTGTGTATTATCAGTATAAAACCTTTTGGGAAAATATATTAAACTTGTCTGATGTCGGAAAGAATTTATCGTCTTTTGTTGTTGTGGGTAGTGTTAATTTTTCCATTCAAAAGAAGAAACATTGATTGAATCCGTATGACACCTTTAATTTGGTTACACCAGGCTAAAGTACGAAACTATTCAGTAACGTCTGTAAGAGCTATGGAGGGCAGTAGAACAATTTAACACATGGTGCATGATAATTATGTGTTATCCAATTTAGGGTGCAGTGTCCCAATTCAAAGAAGGCCGAGGCGCACAAAAAGTACCCCCCAGAGATTGTTTCGAAAAGAGGGGTCTGTTTGGGCCAAGAAATGGTGGGATTGTATCAGTATGGCCCAGGATCTTCTCTGTAGATTCAGGGGCACCCATCTGGGGGCAAAGCAGACAAAAATGGGATTGAAAATTAGTCTGAAGAGCCCGAGGAAGGTGAGGGATGTCATTTGAAAAATGGCCGCTGGGAGGGCTTGGCAACATTCACTTTTGGGGCAGATAATTAAAAAATTTATTGGTTAACCTACTAAAAATTGAAAAGCAAATGAAACCTGAAGGACCAAAAACACATTGTTTTTTGTTTGAGAGGCCTCAGGGACTTCAGTTGCCTGCCATGGGGCTCCAAACTTGGTTGATTTTACACTATTTTCAATTGAGCTTGAATTGGTTCAGTGCACCCTTTAACGATCAGCGCGGCCAAGTCTGGTTGCCAGACTAGACCTGGCGATACTTCAAGAAAATCTTTGTCTAAAGAGGGCGCTACTCTGTGGACACAATACATGTACAGTGTACTTGTACATCTAGATGTATCTGTGATTAAACAGAAGAAAATGGCTGAAGTAAGCGAAGATTGGCAGACGAATCTTTCCACCTACCGGGCCCAACTTCAACAGGTAAATTATACACTTCAATTATACATCTTGATTGGGTACAACTGTAGAATATAGGGCCACTCTATTTGGACTTAGATTTTTTTTTACCATCTCCATTCATTTTGTGTTGCTTCGTTCTCAAAAGAACTCTTTCGACATCGTTCGTAGCCACCAACCGGGTAGGCCTACTCGATTTGGGTCTAGCTAATTAGGCCTACCGTCAACACACGATAGTATTACCAGACTAGTCAACACACCTTTCACAATCCCTAAGCTATAGTTTGACTTATGAGAAATGCCTAGAAATTTTGGGTTCGTCGTCCGCCGCCGCGCTTCCACGTAGGGATTGGAAATGCCAGTCTGCAATGAATGGATCTCAGACTTTATTTCCCAATTAAACAAAATCACCCAGGGGTATCAATCTACCAAGAAAGAAAAGAAAATCATGCACATGTATTAGAAATAAGTATGTGATCTGTTTGAGAAAATAAAGAAAACAAAGGGGGAAAAAATGAAAAAACAATCTTGTGGCTAGTGGCCTTGAACCTGGCACATAGTGATTGCAGACCAATATGCGTACTGTCATGACCGTTTGGGCCACTGTAATGCCGCGACAGTAATTGGCAATTAAAACCTTATATATATATTGACAATAATAACTGTGCAATTCCATAACAATAGAATTTGGATGTCACATTACGGTTTCCGTAACAATAGCCACTTAGAATTGAAGTGAAATTGACGATAGCAAACATCATCAAGGAGCTGATACCTATCACTCAGTGAATGTTCACCTTCAACCGAACAATGGGGAAAAGACGGGCATAGTAGGCCATCACGGTCATTCTGAGAGTATGCACCTATTTTGACTTACATGTAGTGGGCAGGAGTTGACTCATGCACTGGCTATGAGTTCAGTTGAGGTAGTTTACTTTGTACATGCTAGCCTGGGAATGATTTAACTTGATTGAATTGACTGAACCAAAAGATCTAAAAAATCAAGAAATGGTTGTTTTTTCTGTTTTTCTAAAAGATGTTGGCTCTAAATTTCATATCTCGTAATTTTTTTTTCAGGTGGAAGCGGCCTTGACAAACGATCCTGAGAATGAAGAACTCATCAAACTCAAGGCAGATTTACAGGTAAATGTTGGTTTCGGATCAGCCTGTGTTTTGTCAGGATGCTGTGATGTTAGCACATGGTTTTTGAATCATTTAATTGAGGGGAAGAATTCCACACCCAGTAATCATTCATGTTTCCCTGCAGTGTATACATTGACCATCAAATTAACTAGGGATAATATGGAAGCCCTTTAGTAGAAAGTACTTGGAAATCTTCACAACAGTGTTGCAGAGTTTGTGCACAGGATCTCAAGTGATGTCCAAGTACACTCTCACATGCAGTTTACTCCTACATGTACTTAGCCTCGTCTTCCTTAAATTCACTCATAGAAACTTATAAACTGTACATTTCCCTCACAATGTACATGTATGAGGTCAGGTTATAAATTTTTCTTACATGTAACTATAGTTTAAAAAAGAATTCTTCAACTAATTTCATAGCTTGATATGCTTGATATGTTACCCAAGCAGTATTTTCTGGCCAGGAGTCAATAAATATTGAGCTGTGGGAGGTTCATGAATATTGTTAGTTGCCTTTTTTTGTCATTTACAGGATGTCATTGAACTGACACTAGACCTGATTCAGGCTGGCCCAGGGGCAAAAAGTGAGGGGGATGAGGTTGAGAAAGAAATGACAGAAACCTCTTCATGGGGTGTTGGAGACAACTGTCAAGCTCTGTACAGCGAGGATGGCCTGTGAGTATGGGCACATGCGCAAGTGCGCCCTCATAGGTGACAAAGTGAAAGGCCAGGTTGATGCTTGACACTATCGCCCCTGAGCACCTGACGCCTGTGCATAGATCCTATGGGTTTTGTGCACATCCCAGTGGAAACTAGTTGTACCTATTCCACACTATATATTGTGCACAATCTGAGAAACTTAATTTATCCTTCTCTGTGCCGTGGATCTCTGAATGAACATATCTATGATGTGTGTAAGCCCCAGGTGAAACTTGCTTGCAGAAGATGCTTCTACATAGTCTGACGATTAACCCTAACCCTCCTCAATCCTTCACCTGTTGGAGGATTGAGGAGGGTTAGGGTTAAGCATTCATAAGTCCGCTCTTTTGAAGGGCAAGACTTGTAATATCAACGAGACCTTAAGACCAATATAGGGGTGAATAGGACAATCTAGTGTCAGTACATGTAGCCAATTAATTTTGTCACTTAAAAATATATCTCTGCTAGATCCCTCCATTATGTGTTATATTTGGGTTAAATTTTGGAGGATTAAGGACATTTTTACCAAAAAAACTACCAGGGATTAGACTAAAGTAAGCATTTGACAGGCCATTCCAGATTTAATCCCTTTCTTTCTGTTTTGATGTGTTTCCAGGTATTACGAAGGCAAAATAGATGAAGTTCACATGGACGGTACTGTTACTGTCACATTTGAAGGGTATGGGAACACAGAAATTGTACAGGTGAGTTGGGTAGTCTTTGTCTTAACTACTTGCTCCTCTGCTGGCATACTTGAGTCAAAGATTGGAATGATGGAGCCTCAGAATTTGGAAAGTGTGATCATTTCCTGTTTGGTTATTTCCTGATACAGTATATTGAGTAAATGACCTTATGAATGTATCTTTCTTTGCTTCTTTCCTCCAGATATCCAAGTTAAAACCGAGCGAGCAGGCCAGGGGAAGTAAACGGTCGGGAGACGAGGCTGACCTAAATCCCAAACCCTTGTCAAAGTAAGTGATAGGGTTCCAGCCTTACCCAGGGCTTAGATTGGTCTACGTAAATTTTAGGTGCCAAAAATAAAGCACAGTACAATGTTAGGGATGCCCATCTGTTTTTAGCTTCAGGTCTACACCAAACATTGCACAGACATGACAGAAGTGGCCATTATTGTGCAAAAAACAATAACATTTTGCGGTTTGTAGGGATATCAGAATGGAAATATAGGGATGAAAACAAAGACACTTCCTGTTTTTGCACAGTGTTATACACAATAGTACGATTTTTTTTTTTAAATATTACACAGGAAAGAACTTTTAGCCAAGCGGCGGGAATACAAAAAGCGCAAAACACAGAAGAAGTTGGAAAAACTGAAGCAGATGGAACAGAAGCATGAGGAGCAGAAAAACAGCTGGTTAAACTTCAGCAGCAAGGTGAGCCCTCAAGAGGTCAGGCCCTGCCAATTAACCGGGTGCCATCTTAGCTCATTTTTGAAATATTTGCTTTGCCTGTAACTTCCAGCTCTATTCCTCTTGGCCCATTTTTGAAACCTTTGCCTCGCCAGTGACTTCCAGCTCTATTCCTCTTGGCCTATTTTCGAAATCTGTTGACTTTTAGCTGTATTCTTCATGGTCCATTTTTGAAATCATGGCTTCCTCGCTTTCTTGCGGCTAAAATGTATAACTGATTCAAAGGGGTCCGTTGTTTCAAGGTTGTGGGTTAGACTTTGTGTTTTGTTTATGCTCAGCTATGCATAAATTAGCGCCTTCCACAATATTTGAAATCCCCCGTGCTGCTCTAGGATACCATTGGCAGATTGGCACTGCCTGAACATACATGCAACGACAGGAATTGCTGGAGGATTTTAAAGGTTTGAGGTTGTGGGCACGCTGCACCTTTCCAAGAAGCATGTTCAAGAAAGACTGGAGGATTTTAGTCCGAGGCAGAATGTTTTGTTTAGATAATCAAAGGATTTTGAAGGATTGAGGAAGGTGCCTAGCAAAAAAGCTTAAGGCTTAGGGTAGAGCATTGTGTGAGTTACAGCCTATATGTACATGCATTTAAGTCGAAACTTTCTGGACATTTTTATCTTCAGACCTAGGAGTACCTGAAATAACCTAGTGTATATATTTGTTGTTTATCCCTCTCTCAGGCTATCAAGAGCAAGAAGGGAATGACCAAGAAGAGTATTTTTGCATCCCCAGAGAGTTCCACAGGAAAAGTGGGCATTGGAACGTGTGGTGTAGGGGGTGCCCCAATGACGAAATTTGACAGACCCAAACACAACGTAGTCAGAAAATAGCACTCGGACACACTGTAATTTCAGTGTTTCTTTCTCTGGAGAGGCATTTGATAAATCTTTTCCTCCTTATACTGGGATGGCACTTTTGACCTTTTCCTCCCTCTTCGAGGGGTGGAGCAAGGAGTTTCTGGAGATGGAGGATGAACTCAAGACCAGGGGCCATGACAAAATAATGCTGTTCTGTTCACAAGAATCTCATGGATGGAAATATCATATCCTCAAGGTCCCACTTCGTCTATTTTCAGTCTCAGGACTAAAATTGAATAAGATGTGTTAAAACATGTAAGACTTAGATAAGGTTTCTTTTTTTTTTTGTCAGATTGTAGCTCTAGAGTCAAACATCAGTTTGTCAAAGCTATTATAAAAGTTGGGGTATTTTGTGAACATTGGTGGAAAGCTGGTGGCTTTGAAGGCCAGGAAAGGCTCTCTAATTCTGTTTTGTTTACATGTACTTGGTGAATCAGTCTCTTGGTCTAAAAGGGACACTGGGAACTTCACGTCTATTTCTGTAGCTCTTTCTGTAGTATTGCCTGCCAA